TGTCCCATCTTGACGATGGCAATCTTCTGATACGCATGAGTTTCACTAGCTGAAAGTAAATTTTTGGTTTATGGTCATGTTCTGTCACTTAGTTTGTTCATCTGAAGAAAGAACACCTTTCGAAGGAAGTGAAAATTGAAAGGAAATGAAAGCTAAAAAATAAAAATCCTCGGAGATTAATTGTAAAATAAAATTTAAGTAGTTGGGATAAACAATTTTATTTCAAAACTGTATTACCTTAACAGCTGTATTTGTGAATCTATATGGTGTTTTTTACAGCTCTTTGTTCCGTGAGTAGTTGAAGACCTCCTGTTTTATATCCTCCCATGTGGGACTTAGGCAGGTCCAAGGAGGGAACGCAAGCAGAAAAATGTAGGTTTCTCGGTAACGTGCCAACAATGGAAGAAAACAGTAGGAATTTGTTAGAAACATTTGAAGTATTGAGCTATCCTGCTGGAACCTGTGCAAGGCGTGTTGCTTGCCTGTCGCTTTTCTAAAATGAAGGAATAACTTTACCAAGAGTTTTAGACAACGTGGAGAAAAGTACATCGTGTCAGCCATAGGTTCAAATGCCCCAAAACGATTTCTGGGTCCCTGGGGCAGCCATGCGAAGGCGAGGAGGGGCGTGCGTGTGTGTTCATTTGTCTCCCTCCCTCTTCCTCCCCCAAGCAGGCTCATTCCAATCAGCAGTGTAATTGGAATGCAACCACAGTCTGGAGGAGGAAGGGGAATTTTTGGCAAGGAGAGGCAGAGCAGTTGGGAGCTTTATTCAGATTAAAGCATAGACGACCATTCATTATCAGTACAACACACATTAGCAACAGCATAGCATTGTGTTTCTACAGCTGGGACTTATTTCAGCGATTGTGTTGCGCTGCGTATTACATGCAAACAACTGGGATCTGATCACAAAAAGCAAGGCTAATGGCTTGCGTTAAAAGATGGTGTTTCTGTAGGGGGAGGAAAGGCTTGTCTTCAGAACGAACTATTGTGGTAAAAATTGATAGGCAGCCTGTCCTTCTTCTCGCTCTCCCGTGTGTTTTGTATGTTCTGGAACAAGCACTTTTGCTGGGAGAAGAACCCTTGGGGGAAGAAAAAAGCCAGCGGGAATGATGATGTGAAAACTGTTGGTTGGATTCAGAAGGCTGAACTAGTTCTCCTGTGGTGATGACACGTGAAAAGCCACAAGATTAGCAAACATAATCTTAGCTTTGGACCTGGTCCTTTGCTTCCCCCCTAAGCTCGGGGCTGGCTCTTGGCTCGGTGGTTGCTTATGGCTCTCTGACATGGGTGAGGGGCGTTTCTTACTAAGTCACGTCCTGAGCTTTAAATGGGGTGATTATACATTTCCTTCTGGTGCTTCAGCTGGTGTGCTCGCTTCCATGGACATTAATGGTTACTTTTTGTTTTCTTACCTGTCTTCCCATATCTTTCACTGATAGCATTGATGTCTCTCCAATATATACACATGTAAAAATCATTTACTTTAGATAGCTTAAGCAGTATTATTTTTTAATATTTTAAAACCAATGTAATTCTATTTTGATCATCCACAACTGTAGCCCTGAGGTAGGTTCTCAGACCTCGCGTTGCCCAGTACAAACACATTTAAACCATGTAGTTTGTCATAAATCAAGTGACATGTTATAACAGATAGACAAGAGTGTACGTAACACTAAAACAGACCTGTGAGGTAAAGTAGTATTAGTCCTGTTTTGCAGGTATGAAGGAATGCAGTGAACAAACTGACTCTAAACAGTTCAGTACAGATTGAGTAAGCAGTTTATTATGGGATGGAAATGCCCGTGGTGGTTGGATGCAAGATCACTACCCTTAAATGTCCAAGTTCCTAAAATTCATATAACATTTTCTTCTTACTGGTGCTTTCCTCAGTGCTCCTTTTAGGTCTGTTATCCAACCATTACAGGTGAAGGACTGTTAGATCAGATCTAAGATGTGGTAATTCTGTGAAATCTTGTTTCCACTGCAATAATCATAGTTCCTTTCATTTTTTGCAAGTTCAACCAATTATTTCACTCCCCCCTGTATGATTACATGTAAGTTTTGAGAGAAAACAAATTAATGAGACTGCAGGAGTTTGGGGATATTAAATACTTTGCATTTACTTGCAATAATTAAATTATTTTTCAGTAAACCATTCTTTGTCAGTAATAAATCAGAAAAATGAAATTGGCAAATGTGATGCCCTTAATTCCTATTTCTGAGTTTTGAGAACTGTGTGTAGCAAAGCAGTCATGAAAGGAGACTCGGTAGCTCGTAGTATTATGCTCTTTCCATGTGTCTGTGAACTGAGTCGAGTAGCATATGTTAGAATGAGATCATAAGGCGCAATAAAAAGATATTTAATGAACGTATAGTATGTAAAACTGATGCGCGTGTTTGCTTTGGCATGTATGTCTTTTTCCTTCATATTGGAATATTAATGTTCTCTTTTGTGTAGACTACCCAGGAAGTCTGTAATAAATACAAAACATAGCTATCCCCTGACTCATTGATACTTTGTAATAAATACTTTATCTACATATGTGTACTAGAAGCCATTGATGTCTGTTGATGATGTCCTTATGGTACAACGCTTCCCCCGCCCCTGTTTTTGGTTTTATGTTTTGGTTTTTTGTTTCTTCCCCAACAAATGTCAGTGTATACAGGCTTTGGTGGGTGTCCTAGTTTCTGAAAACCTTCAGCGCAAGTTTAAATAGCTTAACTTTTTTTTTAGTTTAAAAATAATTTTAATAAGAAAAAAATTATTTAAAGCAGGCACGTAGAAATAACAAATAACATTCTTCCGTGGTCTTATGCCTCTGGAGGGTCTATTAATGGTGCAGCTGCGTAGATCTGATAACATTGTGGGTTTGGGTCCAGAACCATCAGCATTTTAACTTGGCTTTGTCAAGGAAAACAAATCGTGTTATGGTTCTTTCTGGTTTTCGAATCTTTAGCTCAAAGTTGACGTAGGATAGAGGTCTCGAAGATAATTAAGTCCCCTGAGTTCTATGAGAATCGTTGCCTGGGTAGAGAGAAGACCCTAACAGTGACCTGAAATGAGAGGAAAAAGCTGCGGACAGAGATCCCATGTTGCGAGACCGCTGGAGAGTCTGCGTGGGAGAGTGTCTGTCTAAAAGCCCGACTGGTGGGAAAAGCCTCAGCTCTCAGTCAACCGTAAAACATAAATCCATAGGAAACCCAACTTCCTTACGTTTTATTCTCAGGGAACTATTAATCAATTGGTTATCAGAATATTCAGAATAGGTTTTAATACAGTGTTGAAACTGTTAGAAAAGCGGAGTGTAGGTTCTGGTACTTTTCCCACCGTTGGGAAAAATTCTGTCCAAACAAAGTCCTAAGATAAATTTGAGCTCTGTGTGTGGAAGAAGATTGTTTCCCTTAGAACTGAACTGATGCTCCTGAGACCTATTTTTTTTCGCCTAGAAACACCTGACAGAGAGGGTGGTGTTAATGGAAGATTTCTCAGTGTCTCTCCTGTTTCTTTTCTTTTTTTTTTTTTTTTAACCTGACAAAGCCAGAGTGGCTTGACATCTGACTTTCCTCAAATGTGGTTACTAGAGAGGGAAATCTTGAGCCAAAAATACTAGTTTGTTCACTCATGGCTAATTGAGAGGGAAACGGTTATTTGTATGTTGTGCGTGTGCCCAATCTTATAAAAATGGGACTTTGGTTAACTTGCACTGGCAGGCTTGCTTAATATTAGGCAGCCTTGCAATTTCTCTCTCTGAAGATTGGTCAAACCTCTTATTGTAGGCATTATACAATTTTAGGAGCACACTGTAAAGCTCACTGTGCTATAGATGAATTTTGACTTAGCTGTTGGCTTTTGTTAGGTGGTGTCTGTGTGATGCGGTTCTTGGATGCACTTTTTGGTCTTTGCGTTTCCTGGTATTAATGAGTATTGGCGATCTCATAGAGAAAATATCCAAAGGAATCATATACTGAGGAGTCCTTTGCAGCATTGGTTCCAACCAAATACCTCCTCCCCTTTTTTCTTTCTTTGCGCTAGCTGTGGGAATTCATGCTTTCACTCAAAACCCAAGAATCTTTCTGTGTTATCAGTAAATATTGTAATGTTTCACGGGGGAATCTAGTATTTCCTGCTTACTAAACCTGTGATAATAGATAAGCATGTGCAGTTGAATAGTGGTGCATTTTATGAGGAGAAGTCTTCTGTGTGTATCTTGGCATCTTTATATAGAAGTTGTCCTTTTTGAACTTTTAATTATTTTTATTTATTTTATTTATTTTACTTTTTAATTTACTCTGCTCTCATATGAGGTTATCTTCCCCTTGGTATTTTTGCTTGACAAATGCAAATGTTCCTCCCTTTTAATTTACACAAAAAAAAGCCTGAAAACAATTATCAGCTTCTACAAATAAAACATATCTTTGGGGCCATCAAAACTCTGGCGTTAGAAGTCAGTATACTCCACCCAAATGTTTTTCAGGTAAAAACTTCTATTTTGTTACCACGCAGGCTAACGGAAAAGCCTAGACTGCCTAATGCACTATTTTTTTATGGTGAAGGAAGTTTCTGCTGGTCTGTGCAGCTGAGCATAAGGCCCTGCTTGTGTAACACCACGAATTTTACTGGCCCAATCGTTGGTGCCGCCATATGGTGAGCTAATTAGAAATAATCCAGTTCCTTCACTAGGTAAATACAGAGTTGGCAAAACAGTTGAGGGGGAAAAAACCCAACCTGTTCATGTGAAACTATCGCCTGGGGAAACCACTACCCTATCGCTTCTCTTAAAATCTACCTAAAGGTAAATTGCCAAAAGATGACACTTCTGGCTCAGCTTTCAGGAATTATTTTACATGACAATGTAAATGATGTAGGAGCACACTTCGTTTATGTTCATTCATTTTATTTTGAGCAGGATTTTCTGGAATGCTGGATGGGTAAAGTAACTTTTTCTTTTTTAAGTTGGGAATCAGTAACTTAATTTTGCATTTCTTTTTTTCTTACAGTACTATGTGCAAAAAACTTGGTGAAAAAGGATTTTTTCCGTAAGTAGCTGTTAAAGTTTTATATGCTTATAGATGAGATAAATACTATCCGGGCTCTGTACACCAGTATTTGCACAAGATAATTGTATTAAGATGTTAGGGAGCTAGGGGGTGTATGTTTTAACACAGTTTTATTTCAGGGCTTCTAATTTTCTCTTACATGACACTCATCACATAATAATAATAATTAAAGCGCTGACGCACTGTCTTTGTTTTTGATGAGAGTGGGAAACAAATTTACTCTTTCAGGCAAATTACATGTTTTTCAATTAGTACCACATTTATTAAAATGTTTTTCATGTAGGAGCTTACTCTCCAGCAGACAGATGTACATCTTAGGTATTATGATAGGATTATTAATAATTACTGAGTCTGAAATTATGTTTTAATGTTTTGAAAGAAGTGCTAAAGAGGTGGATGAAGGAGGCAGAAAGGAATGTTATTGGCTGTGTAAGGCAGTAGCAGATCACACACGGATCACCTGCCTGTGCCTTCCAGGTGAGAGCAGGAAGAGTTGGAACGATCAAACCCGAACTTCAAATCACAGAACCATAGAATGATTTGGGTTGGGAGGGACCTCAAAGACCATCTCGTTCCAACCCCCCTGCCACAGCAGGGACATCTCCCACTAGATCAGGTTGTTCAACGCTCCATCCAACGTGACCGTGAGCACTTCCAGGGATGGAGCATCCACAGCCTCCCTGGGCCACCTGTCCCAGTGCCTCACCACCCTCAGGGTCAAGAGCTTCCCTAGATCTAATCTAAACCTACACTCTTCCAGCTTCATTTTTTAAAAGACCTTGAAGAAGGCGTTGTACCTTTATGTTGTAATTCATGATGCTTCCAAATCTTGCGTTATAGCTGGGGTTTTGTATGGATGGCAAGTTTTTGGGTGTTTAACAGTTTGATGATGCCTAAAAAAACCCCACCCCAAACCTCAAGATTTGAAACCTGTGATGCACTTCTGTACTGAAGCACAAATCTCACAAGGTCCTGTTCCTCCTTTTCCCCACGTGCTTTGCCTTTGTCCCCACGTGCTCTGACGCGTGTCCTGAGCCGCTCTGCTGCCTGACTGGCTCCATCGTGAGTCACCTGGGGAAGCAGAACCGGTACAAAACTTGTGCTGCAGAGAACGTGAATAATGTTTCACCACCTTAGTTCCTTCAGCTGATTCCCTGGGCACTCGATGAGGGGAGGAATTGGTACGAGGGGAAAAAGGGCCAGGACTGCGTGGCTTAGGGCTGTTCGTGCTGGGACCATCCCTTTTGGTGTTGGTTCACAGGTTACTTAGAATCCCAGTTGCAGCAGAGCTCATTGTAGGCTGCTCTGGTCCTGCTTTGTTCCCATCCTCAGCTGTGTAGCCTGGCACCATCTTTGTACTGATTTTTGTTGTTCAGCTGAGCCTATATTGAGTGGTTTTTTTGAAGTGCAAAGCTAGCAGAAAATGAAGTAGAAAGCTAGCAGAAAGCAAAGTGGGGCTCAAAAGTGAGAATAATCTGCTATAGGTGGTTTTCTGCAGTACCAACACCAATCAAAATCATGATTATAATTAATTCTAAAAATAGAAAGAATGTAGATCTGTTTTCTATGCCTTTTGCTGAATTCTTTGTATACTGAGACTTTACTCAAACCTGAATTAGGAAGATTAGGGTGTTCAGATTTTTTTTCCTTCCCGAAGTGTTTGATTTACACAACTCTTTCTTGGTTTGATTGCTAATTTAGCTATGTCCTGTGCTTAGTATGTCATGTTATTCCCATGCATTAAATATGGTTCTTATTTATGAATAAAGAGCGACTTTGACTAGCATATAAAAAAGAAAAAAAGTGCAATGATACAGTACAGGACTTCAAAGCATCCTGATCCATTTGCTAGTGTTTTTTGGTTTTTTTTTTCTTTTCCTCCCCCTAGGACTTCCTGATCCATTTGCTAAGGTTGTGGTGGACGGATCTGGCCAATGCCATTCTACAGATACTGTGAAGAATACACTTGATCCAAAATGGAATCAGCATTATGACCTGTAGGTGGTAACAGTGATAACCAAAGGTTTGAAGTGAAATCCTCTAAAGTACACAGACATTGTCAGATGTTCACAATACTGCCCTATTTACAGCTTGGAAAATATCCCAGAATTTGTTTCATATTTTTATCTGCTTTTGCTCAAAATCTAAACACTCTACTTGGTTTTCTAGGGATGGTGTCTGCAGCATGCTTTCCATGTACTCTAGCACTATTTTTCTGTAATATTTTCACATTAACCCTTCTGTAAAATGAAGCAAATAATTGACAGTATTTCCCTCAGACTGCTCTCTCCATGCTATTTTTGTCTGTTGCAGTGCTGCAGTGTCTTTCTTTCTGTGTGCCTCTCGTTCAGCTTTGTCTCCTTTGTGCCATTTTCTGCCCTAAATGATGTTCTCAGTATAAATTGTTACATTGTTATCATCACTTAAGCATCTTTCTGTGCTTTTGAGCAATCTAATCTGTATGACATGTATATGTCATGTTTATTCTCTTCCTAAAGCATAGAATATTTTGTACAGTGTAAATAGGTTTTTCTTACTATTTTTGTATAGATTTCTTTGTGTTTGTGCATGCTTTGTTTTCCATGTCTTTTGTCCTTTTACTCTTTATCTTTTTCCTTGGGATGGAAGATGAGGAGGAGAAAGGAACAGTTTTGCCTCATTGTATTCTTTCTTTCTAAGGCATTATTTCGATCTTTGACTTCTTTTTTTTTTTTTCCCCCCCCACATGGCTCCATTCCGCACTGATGTTATTAGAAATTGTTTGAGCGTATTTATGTTAGCTTTGGCCATCAAACCTAGATCAAATTGAGTATAAGAACACAGAATTTCTTGTCCCCCTGTTTCCCAGTGAAGAAAGGCAACCTGATAGGTCTCTCAGCAGAATGTGAAGGCCTGCTTTAAGGTGATATCTTGACCTACTCCTTATTTGAATGACCAAGACTAAATATGTGAAGTCATTGTTCATAATGTTTTAATGCAGTGTTCAAAACATTTTCCTTACTGCTTAACAGAATATCCTTGATGGTTTAGTGAAGTAATGGCACTATCTCTGAGGAAAGCTGTAACATTACAATTTTATTATTCAGACTCTTTGCAAGCTTAGAGTCTGCGTGTGAAACTCGAATTCATATGCATTAGAAAAATTTATATGAACCGAGCTGAAGTTAAAGTAGAAGGAATAGCTCTTTGTATTTAAAGAATTCTAAGTTAATTTGACTTTTTTGTTATTAAACCTATCAAAATGTTGGTTCATATAGATGCATTTTTCAGACCTGTGCCCTTCTGCATCCTCTCCAAGTTGACAATCCATTTGTGAAGATCTAGCTTGAGCTTGCTTTTTTTTTTTTTTTCCAAACAACAGTTAATACTCCATGCAATGTCCTAATGGTGAAATTTGAGAGGAGATTGCACTGATACCGCAGCTTGCTGCCACCGGAAGTGGAAAAATCCCCCTTTCTCTCCTGTTTCAACCCATTTCCCAGTTTACTGCGTGGGTTCATGCTGCTTCTCTTGCACTGGCCAGACTGGATTAGCAGGGCTGGTAAATGGATTCAGTTCACTTCACCCACAGGAAGGTAGCTGGATAGAGCTAAAAAAAAAAAAGTAATTCTTTGCTGATGAAATGAGCTGCAGTGGGTCAGTAAGGGTGTGCCTGTGTTAGCCTGTGAGCTTTGGTAAGGAATCTTGGGCTCATCACAGCTCGCTGAGTTTTGGCTTCTTTTGTGAAGCGATCTTAGCGTACATGAACCCACCTGCCTGGATGAAGCAGGACGACAGTGTGCATCCCCCGAGTACCACCGATGCTCTCTTGGTGCAGGAATGAAACGTGAGCGTGGATTTTTATTGTTGTTTAGTCAGGTGGGCCCATTACAGATTGTTAATGTGTAGCTTTACAAGGATAGAAGGGGCGTAAGGTGGAAAGGAGAGTGCTGCCAACGTGACTTGAGTGTAAAGGAGGCTGAGGGGAGACCTCATCACTCTCTACAACTACCTGAAAGGACATTGTGGAGAAGTTGGTGCTGGTCTCTTTTCTCGGGTAATTAGTGACAGAACTAGAGGGAATGGCTTCAAGCTTAAACAAGGTAGGTTTAGACACTAGGAAGAAGTTCTTCACGGAAAGAGTTGTGGGATATTGGAACAGGCTGCCCAGGGAGGTGGTTGAGTCGCCATCCCTGGATGTGTTTAAGCATCGCTTGGATGTGGTGTTGCGTGATATGGTCTAGGGGTGAACTTGCAAGTAGGGTTAGTGGTTGGACACGATGATCCCAAGGGTCTTTTCCAACCTGGATGATTCTGTGATTCTGTAGAGCCGTCCTGTAACCTTTGTACAGGCAGGGAAGGGATGCTTTCGAAGAGGAACGGTGGGCCGTCATTCAGCAGTTATCTGCTACTGAATTCTGTGTTGAAAATGTCAGCGGTTCCCTACAGCTCCCACGTTTATCTGCCAGTGTCGTAGCGTTTGAAGAGCCGCGATGCCAAGGCGAGTTCAGCGGTTGACAGGACCGAGTTCTAATGGATGGGAAGCGCTGATGACTTGGAGACTTGGGTCCGTTCTGCAGAGGAAAAGGGGCAGAGGACATGGGAAATGAGAGGGGATGTTAATGTACAGTGTGAGTAATGGGGGGAAAAAAAAGTAAAATCTGTAGGAAAAAAATCCCTTCTGGTTATAATTTTCAAGGAAGAATGAAGAGAAGGTATTTTTACGTTGTTTTATGGAACAAATCATGCTGGTGTCTGGATACTGTAGTTGTCTTAGCTTTGAAGCAAGACCATGATTGCAGTCCCCATTGTATTATAAAAAACAGAGATAAAACGGGGTTTCTGCCAGAATATTTTGCTCAGGCATATTTGGAGCATCCCCTGTCGAATTGTCCTAAGGAATTTAGACTTGCGTGAAATAGTTTTGGGTGTGTGGAGTTTTTTTCTTTTTTTGCAGAGAAGATTCCTAAAAATAACCTGAGGTTTTGTTGAGTTAGGATATTATTTTCAATATAAATTACTTGTCCTGGAGGGAATACTACTTTACTTGATACTGGCAGTTGAGTTCCCTGATGACAGAAGTATACAGAGCATTTTTAATCCAAATTAAAATTTAGCATATCGGGCCTCGTAATTTAGAAATAGTCCTTTTCCTCTCTAAGGTTTTTTTCATTATCATTTAACCCCTTTTATTGTCTTGCTTGTTATTTCTTACTCTACGGAAATTTATGAATAAATATCACTCACTTGGTCTTCAGTTCCGATTTAAAACAGCAGTACAAGATTAGATCTTTTTGTACAACAACTCACTGACTGACTTTGATCTTAAGGTAACTTTTTACTGTAATGCACCTGGTGTCAGGTCGCAGCTTTTCATCTGCACCAGACATTAAGACAATCAACTTTTCTGGGGGAGAAAATAATAGGAATAGTAACCATCCTACTGCTAAGCACCTGATGGCAAACCTCGTAGAAGACAGGGCTTAATCTTTCTTATTCTTTGAAAAGCATAAGTTTTTAAGCTTCCTAGTGTTTACCCTGACAACACCCCCTTGCATGGGAATGCGAGTCTCTGCCTTACGACGCTTCCACCGCGCCAGGAAATGTTTCGCACACTGAGCGTAACAGATGGAGTCTCGGTGGCAGCTTGCCTGCTCCTGCCACCACGCAGCGTAGGGAATCAACCAGAGGAAGGAGCAGTTATGTAAAATTTTTTTAAAAAAAAATCACGCTTTTTTTTTTTTTCCTTTTCTCTTTTTTTTCCTACCGTGAAGATTTCTGTTGTTTTTTCAATGGTGGTGATAAGCTTATGTGCAATAAATCTGTCTCTTGGCCATGCTGGGTTGATTGAAGTGTCCCCAGGCTGGAATTTGTATAACAGGTTAACACTGCTGCTAATTAACAGTCCTGTGTATCATGTGATGGCATATGCATATGGCACAGTAAGATGGATCTGTTGTGATGTATTTATGCAATAATGTCGGAATTAAGTTGCTAATTCCAAGGGAATTTTGTGGCTTGCTAACCTGATTCGGCATAATAGATAGTCTCTTATCTACAATTTTTATTTATTTTTTTTAAGTCTGCAGTGTGATAAAGAACGAAAAAGGTTTTACTTTTGCCTTACGTGGTTCTTAATTCAGATTTTAGTGTGAAATCTGAATTAGTTCCTTAGACTCCTCAGTCTAGATGGGTGTGTGTAAAGGGAAGGGGAAATCTGGGAAGCTTTCCAGAAAGAAATTGCCAAATAGTTCCTGTCTGGATGCAGTTTAATGTCAGTAACATACCCTGCTTGCCCTGGATGAATTCCCCTTCCTTATTTTCTGTCATGTTTATGCCTTCCCTGTTGTTCAGGCCTTTCCTCAGAGCTCTGAATAACCAGACTTAATGTGTTTACAGACTTGCTTGCATTCAAAGCATTTGAAACCAGCAGTTCTGAAACTTAAATCACCTTTTTCTCTTCCACTTTCATCTCTTCTGTGATAACTTAGGTCACTCCTACAGCCTCCCAGCACTCATCTCTGCCCTCCAGCGTTCTCCAGCCCTCCCCAGCAGCCTTTGCGCTTACGGCATAGCCAGTCCTGTGGTCTGTTGATCTCTAAAAGATACTTGTGCCGTGATGCATGCCGAAACCCAGTCCTGGTCCCATCTTGATGCTGCGCCCTTCAAATCTGCAACCCCAGGTTCTTGCATGGACTCTTCTTCTTCTTCTTTGTTCTGCCTCTCAAATGTAACCTCACCCAACTTCTCCAACTCTACCTCTTGTCAAAATCTCCTCCCTGCACGTCCTAGCCTTCCTTGCCTTCGCATTCTCAAGCTCACCTATTGCCAACGATCCTGGATGTTTCTCAGGGACAGAAGGCAACGGTTCTGCTTAGTGCTGATTCAAACAATCACATCCTAGATGAGACCCCAAAAGAGCCATCAGACGGCTCCTCGTAACAGCTTTGCCTTCTTGACGTGGTTGTTTAGACCACTTGGGTGAAGCTGATGCTTCTTTTAGAGTGAAAGTATTTCTGAGTTGCGTTTGGCCCGTAGCGGCAGATCTGGCCATTCCCGGCTCAGGCACACCAGGCATACAAGTCTTTGCTGAACTTCTTAGGTGGGTCTGTTGGGAACAACTGGAGTAGAATCTGATGTGGCTGCTTCTACAGTGTCTTGTAGGCTCAGCTTAACATTGGACTGGGTACCACTGGGTTGGAGATGAGAGCAGCCCGTCAGTGCCACGTGTCCGTGCTGGGTTCCTGTCAAAGCCGCAGCCTCTGGCTGGTTCCCTTCCGACCGTCCCAGAGGCCTGAACACCCTTAAGTTGCTACAAGGGATTGAGAGCAATTTTGGGCAGAGAGAAGAGAAAAAAACGAGGCTGATACTTTTTTCATTATGTCTCTTCGCACCATCTTCTCCCCCAGTTTGAAAACAGCTGATATCTCGAAGCATAATGCTACCATTATATTAGAAAAATTTCAGAAATGGGAAAATGGACCAAGTAATTTGTCCAGATTGTAAAAAGAGTGTGTGTGACAGCATGGGTTAGAAATAGGGAATTCCTGGCTTGCAAGCCTGCGTTCGTACCTCTTGATGTTGCATTTTTCTCTCTTTCTGGAGGGAGTACATCTGACTTGTGATCAGGGAGAGGTGTATTTTTTTTCAGGAATATTCCCCCCACACACACTTTCTTTATTCTGCTTTTCTCTACCAAGCTGAACTCTTCAGGGAAAGTGTATATAATGCCACAGGGATGAAAAGTCACTTGATACAAACCTTCCTGAGTGGTGTATTGGCTCAGAAGGAAATAGCACCTTGGCAGAGATCATCTTATTTAGACAAAGTAACAATTGTCCCAGTGTTTTAAATTTGATTAAAATATTTTTGAGGTTTCTGGTATGGCATATGCGTGATTTTTGGTTAAAAGTGAAAGTGCTAAGAATAAGCATTTTAATTTATTTCCAAATGGACAATTCTTATCCAGAGCCCTAATTTTGCAGGTTCAGGAAATATGGGAGTTAACAAAATGTATATGGAGATTGAATTTGTGGGTTTCTGTGTCATTAACACTAATCACAGCTGAAGCTGTGAAATAGATACTGCTGATAGGGTAAGAGTAAAAAAAAATAAAAAAATAAAAACCCCACTTCGGTTAAGGGGAGGAAGAGAGGGACATCCAACAAAATGAGAGCTTTGTGGGTTTTGTTTCTGGCTGGGTGTTTTGGTTTGGTTGGCTTTGGGATTTTTTCTTGGTGTGTGTTTTTCTTTTTTCTTTTTCTTTTTTTTTTTGACACTTACTTTATTTTTTAGAACATTCTTTTTTTTTTAATAACAAAAAAAAATTCCTAGCTCAGGCTTTTATGTTGGAACTTCATTGCATGATGATGTAAAACAACTGTAACTTATCCACCAAATGAATTGGAAATGTCAGCTTGTCCAGCTGTCACTCTCTAAATGCAGCCATGTATTTTCATGCCTGAAGTTTTGCAGAAATACAGATGAAACATTTTGCCATGAAGCCAGCTAGCACTTACCGAACTATTACTTTCTTCCTTTGAGGGGCGGAGGGAGGAAGAAAAAAAGAAAGACATTTTATTTGGAAAATGCGGCTTGTCTTGCTTTATTTCTATGAAGTGTGTGAATCAGTCGGGTTTTCTGGTGCAAAGCGCGGAGTGGGTTATAGTGGTGACAGAGAAGCCCTCACTGGTTTGGTGTGGATGGCTTACTTCTGCATCTCGACGATGAGACCCTTAGCCTGAAATGTTACAGTAATTCTTGGAAACTCTGTTGTATATTCAGCTGTTCTACATATTATTCAAACTGTTATGTTATGAAATTGTGTTTAACCATATACCTTTGACTTTTTTAAAGCAACAAGGAAAACTGGAAAATTCAAGACAGGTCATGATAAGTCTTTATTTTTTAAGTGCACCTAGCTTGTCCTCATGAGAATTTATTTTAAGTACATGAAACATTGTAGACTGCAACTGTGCACGTGAATACCCATCCTCATCTCTCGTTTCTTTATGCAAAATTGGCATTGTCAAGGTTGTAAGGCCAAAAATCTGACCTATATTATGCGATCAGTTTACAACTCAAAAACTTTAGGGTTTTTTTGCGTTAAGTTTGTGTTTTGTTTGGCTTTCTTTGGTATGTTGTGGTGGTTTGGGTTGGGTTTTTTTCCCTTTCAAATGTGCACTGGTAATTTTAAACCGTGCTCATGGGTGTGTGCCTGCAGTTAGGCTTTTCTGTCTCCTACTTCTTGGGTCAGCTCCAGTGTGCAGGTGGGAAAAAAGTTGTCAAAATTCTACTTTTTGGAAAAGGAAAAACGGGAGAAGAGTTAATTGAGAACGTGCTGATCACAGCTGCAATTTTAAGCCATGGCAGTTAGTTCAACTGTTTGGTTTGCCAACCTTGACAGTATCATTTCTATCTTGATGGAAATATTATTATGTTTTAAAGCTGATACAGTCTCAGTCAGTGCGGGAGATGTATTTAGACATAGGTTGGTTGGGTCTGTTAGATCAGTTTTCCTTCAAAAACAAACAAAAGGCACTTGGAACTAAGCTGCCAAAGGCGAGAATCTGTGGTCTGGGAAGGGAAGACTACAAGCAGTTCTTGGGATCGAAGCCATAGTTACAAATTCATTTTCGTCAACTTGAAATAACTATAATAATTCAGTACTGGCAATAGCTGGTTTATCATAGGTGTTTTGAAATTGTCCTCTGAAAGTTTTGAAAACAAAAACTAGCTCACAAAGTAATTGCTTCTGAAGAGCAAAGCTTCAAGCAAAAAAGCAAAAATACAATAACTTGCAGTGTCCGCATTTCCCCGAGTCGGTGAAATGCGGATCTGGGTTTTGCAAAGCCTTTCTGTGATAACTTGCTGAGAGCAGCCCGTCCCCGTGTGAGCGCGGGGCAGGAGGGCAATGTAGCACATCTCGACTAAAATACTGTACGAACTTTTTTTGTAATGGGTCACGTTCGCAATATGTAACGTATGTTATAAACAGGGCCTTTCTGAAGCTTTCTGAATAGGAAATTGGCTTCCCAAAGATGTGCTGACTGCAGATGCGGTGCTAGGTTTACCTTACCTTTTCCCTGAGCGCTCAGAAGAGCTCTAAAGGAGGGTGACTTGCGTTGCCAGTGATTGCAAGAATAGCCCGAAAAGCAGCAGCAGGTGAAGTGCTACGGAAGGATTCTGAACCGATAGTTTCTGCCCTGGCATTTGCTCCGCGCTGCCTGCTCGCGCTGCTCACAGACACCTGCTGCCACGAGCATTGCCGTTCTCCTTGGTTAGGCTGAGCATAGGCATGACTCTGAGCATGTTTGTAGCTGCTTGAAGAGATGTGGTCTCCGGGCCAGCCCACAGCCTGTTTGTGTTACTGTTTCCAGTGGATTTTGGTAGGCTTTGGATTCTTCCAGAATCAGGACTTTGGCTTAGTCTGTATTGAAGTAAAGTCTTTCATAAGACATGCTTTCATCAAAGTACAATGCGTACATCTTATCTGAAGATGACTTAATCTCCTTTGCTGCCACAGTGTGTGTGTGTGTGTGTTAAAATTTTAATATGTTGGTTGATAATCTGTTTTTTCCTCCAAGGTGATTTCTGGAGCATCTTCGAAGTATTCAGTAAGTGCCATTCACAGTACTGTTTTTGCACATTTTTCAGATACATTGGGAAGTCGGACTCGATAACAATCAGTGTGTGGAATCACAAGAAAATTCATAAAAAGCAGGGAGCTGGTTTTCTGGGGTGTGTGAGACTTCTTTCAAACGCAATCAACCGCCTTAAAGACACTGGTTGTAAGTAAGCTAAAGACTAGAGTTTCTTCTCTTTCAGACCAAACTCTCATGCACAGACTTTCAAAGGGTGGCATTTAATTGGGTTTTTGTTGTTTTTTATAAAGCTTGTATGTTCCAGTTGCTTTGGTAGTTCGTAGCAGTGTTTTGTGGCCGAGGGTAACACAAGTAGGTTAAAGATGTAACTTACCTTTGCCTTTTTCAATGTTACCGTGGACAGTTGATAACTTCAGTGCCACCGTCTGATTCTGGATTGACAAGACTGAACTTAGCTTGTTGGAATTCCAAAGGAAGACAGATTCTAATTACCTTCAAATTATATTTTTATTACCTTAAAAAATGCAAGTCTTAAGGGATAAAAAAAACCAGTAAATCTATCTTGAAGCCAAATTTGTAGTTTAAAAATTAATGGGTCTTAAATTAATTAGTACATTTTGCCATAAGATATTAAGTAACACTTTGAGCACTTCGTATTTACTTTTTCAAAGGTTAATTAACATGTAAGATGCTTTTTGCTCATTATCCTAATGGGTGCCATTTACTAGTGAACAAAATTAGGCGCACAGTTGTGATGGAAGAGCAATGCTTGGCTGTACAAGTGAGACAAAGAAAGAAGTGACGTGCTGGTAGAGAAGCGTTGTGATTTTACTTTCAGTAACAGGCTTCTCAGTGAAGGAAGTTCTCATTTTTAAATATTTGTCACTAGATCAGTGCTTCAGTGCACTGTGCTTTGCTCAATTTCATAAAGTTCTACCTGTTTAGTGTGGAGCACGTGGATCTATGCTGCAGGTTATCTCTGTGCTGTAAGAGTATGAGTTGTTGAACTGGAAGTGCATTATGACAGTGGCTGGTCTTCAAAGGGAAGAGACTTCAAAATATTTCTTACAATCACTTTAGACATCCAGTCTAGGATAATGTCATTTCCTATTCATCAAAAGAGCTTTGTGAAGTACGAATAATATTGAAGCAGAAGTTACTCTAGTCATGTTTTCTGATTTAAAATTTTGAAAAATTAAGTTTTTTGCTAAGATTTTTAGCTTTACTTCCCTTCCTCCATCTGTTGAAGTCTTAACTATCTTACATTAGGCTGAGTTTTCTTGTGCTGGTACTTCGATGTGCCTTTCAGTGTTCTATGGCTTAAACTTTTGTGTCCTTGTTTCACAGATCAGAGATTGGATCTGTGCAAGCTTGGGCCAAACGACAATGATACTGTTAGAGGACAGATAGTAGGTAAGTAAGGGTTTTTATTTTTTACTTCTCTTGGAACTTAATCATAGCTGTAGAAGTAGCCTTCCTAGATGTCAGTTTTCTGTTTTGAAATTATTTTTTTTCAAATACATTGTCTAGTGCCAGAGCCATTTGAACCTCAAGCTTCAAGTGTGTATGTAGAGAATTTAAAAGGAAAAAACAAACAAACAAAAAATCCCCACACCAAAACAAACAACAAAACGGAATGCCAATCCCCCCTCCCAAAAAAAACCTCCACAAAATAATCCCTACAAAATATTATTATAAGTGTTGAGACAGATAAGACTGTGGATAATACGAAATTTATTTAGAAAGCCTTAAATGTCACCGTAAAGGATGGTGACAGTTAAAGCATGAACTCCTTGTGAAAAACTAACTCCCAGCAAACTGGGCTTCCTGTAGGCTTTGCAAAAGGGTGAAACATCTTGCTGTCACAGGAGTGAATTGCTGTCTGGTCAATTCATTTTCTGTTTTCACGGGTTATTAACAAGTCTGTCACCAGTCTGTGCTTTGTTGTTCTGCTAACTCATAAACCTTAAGAAACTTAAGAATTAAAAAGAAGCTGTCAAATTGAAACCCAAGTATCCACGGATGACTTCATAAACGCTCTATTTTTGGTGCATTGTAAGTTGTTTCAGAAGGCAGCATTTCTAGGAAAAATGGTCAGAAAAAGTTAGGATAAGAAGTCTTTATATTAATAGCAAGATGTTAATGAGAATATTTGGGCATGGGGGAAGGAAAAGCAAATTTGCGTGCTCATTTTTGTGTCCAATTCCTAGTTCAAATAATATTCAAGAAGCATTCTTATTTTGTCAGCCAGGGAAAATGATTGAAGTATCAGTCAGCAAATAAGGACTTTACTGCATTTGTTTGCTTTCCTCAAAGCGCTCTCTTGGGTAATACCTATGACTTTACCTCTTGATGTTGCTTTAACCATCTGTCTAGCATCTGATCTGCAAGTGTGTTTGCACACATTAAGATAAGGGTGAGGTGGCACAGGTGAGTCAAACGCTGGTAGAAATGTGGAATCCTAAGTGCGTTGCCTACGCTTCAGGCCATTCTTGAATATTAAATTTTCCACTTGAGCTTGCACAGAAGAGTAGAGGATAAACCCATCTGTTTTCTAGAGTGTATGATGCTGTCAGTTTGGTTTGCTTTGTGGTTTGCTCCAGTATACTGGTCGTTTGGTCCTCCATGCCGTACACTGAGATTTTGATGTTGGGGTTTCTTTTAAGAGGCAGCTGAGCTCAGCTGATGGGAGAGGAGAGCTTGTGCAGGGTCTGCTCCCACCAGCAGAGATCCACTCTGCCCACAGCAGTCCTTCCGGCGTGACAGTGGCAGGGACCGTACCCTCACATCGTGATGTGCTCTCATGCTGCCCTCCAGAGTACACAACATGCATCCTTGTCATCGGGAATTGAGAACGCTAGCATTAGTTAAGCAAAAAAAACCCAAACCAGACCCACAAAACAAAAGCACAAACCCCACCCCAAAGCAGAAAGGTCTCAAAGCTATTGAGGTGCCAGGTGGGAAGCCTGGGGCAAATTCCGTGCAATGTGAGCTGGCAAATACACCTGAGAGGTGACTAGTTATCCGACAACTAGTCAGTGGTGTGGGCATAAACTAGACTGGTGAGCTGGCTTAACCCAACGTGATCCTGGGAAGCAGTACAGCCAAAGCAGCACTAGCTCTTCTGGCATCCTGTCGGGGCTGTCCCTAATTAGCGGGAGCTGCTGGATCATGCCTCGAACCTGGGGAAGACACAGCTTGTGAGGTTACAGTGGAGACCAAGAACAAATCTGTATGTTCTGCTTTCCACTGTTATCATCAAAAAGGTCAGGTTTCCTCGGTCATGGCTATGTTTTAATTTAATGCATCCTTGGTAAGATTCGAAAGACTCCTGTCTCGTTATGTAAATTGTTGTCATTAATCTTGTATTTTAATCTTTCTTCGATAATACAATTTGAACAAGTGAATGAGCCCAATCTTGATTAAAAGTAAGAAGACAGAATAAGTTATAAATACACTCTCAGTCCTTCTTGTGATAAACTGGCTTAAATGAAGAAGTTATGCAAGATTGCAAAAAATTCTAAAATTTAATTGATACCTTCAGCAGATGATAACCTTACAAATCAGGTGCGCGAGGGGTATACTTTATGATTTGGGCCAGGGAGCAAGGGGATAAAACCTGGGATCATCACCAAAGGGGGGAAGAAAAGGGGCCGCTTGTGAGTGGTGGATGCAAAGGGCACTTCTTGTGATAAACTGGCTTAAATGAAGAAGTTATGCAAGATTGCAAAAAAATCCTAAAATTTAATTGATACCTTCAGCAGATGATAACCTTACAAATCAGGTGCACGAGGGGTATACTTTATGATTTGGGCCAGGGAGCAAGGGGATCTTTGTCTTGAAAACCTGGGGTCATCACCAAAGGGGGGAAGAAAAGGGGACGCTTGTGAGTGGTGGATGGAAAGGGCACCTGAACTGTGTCTTAATCTTGCAGCTCTCTTCTGTGCCACCATTTTATTTCTGGTGTGGCGGTGCAGAAAAAATGAGTCTTTACTCATTACAAAATGAAGCCGTGCCCAAATTTTGGTCCTCACGTAGGCAAAGAGGAGGTAATTGCCTTTGTTTAGTTTCATTTTTGTCTGTGTGTATTGCTTGCCAAACCTTGCCTACATGCCATGATGTGAACTTGTAGTGAGTGGGTTTGCTGCAGAGTAAACACATCCTGGTAGATTTTGTTTTGGCTGAAATTGAGTTTAAGGTGTCTTGTGTTGTAAGATGTTGCTTTGTAGCTTTAGTGTTCATGGAAGGCTGAAAGTTAGTATTGATGGAGGGGTCAAGCAAGCAGGTGCCGCAGGGATCCCTGTGTTGGTCTGCTGAAGGCTCAAAATCCTGAGCTTCAAAACCTGCTTGTTGAAAATTCAGGCTCTCTGGCAAAAACTGCTTTTTTAACTTTGTGATCCAAAGTTTGGTTGTATCTAGGTTAAGGTTTGTGATTTTATTTCACTACATACATTAAGTAGGACTTGAATACCTTGTCCAGAGGTGCGGTAGTGCCACCTCAAGAAATGTGGGCCATAGCATGTATTTAGCTTTCTAAGCAGTTGTTTTATTGTTAAAGGAAAAACACATCATTAAAAAAAAAGCCAAAACAACGCCACAGGAACACAAGTGTCATAAATTATCAGATTGGACCCTTGCAAATTATGATACTGGGAACAAAAGCTGTCTTAAAAATAAAAAAAAAATCTTTGTTTTCATAATTGTAGTACAAAAGCTTCAGGCATAAGTATCCATTACAATGAAACATTAAAAAAAAAGTTAAAAAGTAATACAGTCTTTCTGAGGGCACTAAGAGCTTTTCCGGGTGCTGAGCTCTGCTTTGTGTGAGAGCTACATCTGACTTCTTGCCGCTGGCGTTTGAAAGTAGCTGATAAACCAAATGTGCAGCGCTGCTCGCAGTTAAATTGTACCTGGTTCTGTGCGTGTACGTGTGGATGTTGAATCCCATGCGCACATAAAATACATAACAAGGAGTCAAAAGCATATGGAGATTTCTTATTTTAGCTCTTTCTGTCAGCAGTGCAAGCGTGGCAGGGGCCCTGTCCTGCTCGCTGTCCCGGCGTGCGTGAGGCTGGGGCTCTGCTGCTGCCAGGCCCACTCCTGTGCAGAAAAGTTAACGACAGCGTCAGGGTTAACTTCTTTTTTTTGCCTTAACTTGCATTCGTATTCTTTAAGTTAACTTTTTTCAAGTAAGATTCAGAGAATTACGGGGATGAAAGCATACTCTGTTTCTGTGTAACACTCTCTGATCTGTAGCCAGTGTGTGGCTCAGCTTAGTCCTCCCAGTTGTACCATTTCTCTTTCAAGTGTAACTGCATTTTGCATTCAGATGTCATATCTTTAATAATTCTTTTATTATCTTAATAGTAAGTCTTCAGTCCAGAGACCGAATAGGCACAGGAGGACAAGTTGTGGATTGCAGTCGGTTATTTGATAACGATTTACCAGATGGGTAAGCTGACATCACTGTGATGTAAATACAAATACAGCTCATACAAGAGACTTTTGTAGTAACGGGAAGTCAGTACACGAATAGGTTAATTTATTTTTATTCTCGCGCTCAGAGTTCTACAGGTTTGAACTTAGGAGCAGGAGATAAGTCAGCTAGGATACACAGAATAGTTAATATTTGGCCTTTTCTTGTCTCTTCTTGGAAAAAGGAAGGTGTTGTTCTGAGTAAATATGTTAAAAAATATACTTGTCTAAGAAGACATATGTCTTTCAAATTACAGAACTGATAAGCTAATATGAGGTTAAACGACAGCCAGCAAGCTGACTTCACCCATACGGTAGTTCTGTAGCAAGGTGGTGAAGGCTCAGGCTCGGCTGCCTTCAGCAGCGCTGTGCAGACGTATACGCTGTTATAAAAATGGATCGTGTTTTCTTCCATGTAAATCGTAGTGAAGAAAACATGATCGGAAAAGGTAAATGGGGCCTAAGGTCTTGCTGTATTTACCTGCCAAAGACTGGGTTTAGGATTTTGATTTGTTCCTATGAGAGTTAATGACATCATTAACACCTGAAACAGTTTGGCGAACACAAAAAAATACTGTTTTAGGTTCTGGTGCTGTCATCAACTTTTTCAGAGCACACACAGACCTTCTGAATGTCATTCTTGGCAAGTAAATACAGGAGAAGCTGTTTTTTCAGATGATGAATTTTGAAACATAAATTATTGTCGAAGTCCTAAACAGCATTCTTTTTGTTAATTTGGAGTATGGAGAAGTCAAAAATGCTTTTGAAAATGCTTTTAAATTTTCACTTCAGGATGTTTCTTGTATAAATATTGCTTGCTTAATTGTGTAACTGCAAAGCTAGCTATATAGCTGTGTATTTTGGAAGGCAAAAATAATAATAATTAAGAAGTAATTTTATTTGAACGTGACTTTTAAATGAAAGCAAGTAGTGCATGAAGATACTATGAAAACGCTTATTAGAATCAGTGGTCAAAAGTTAAATGCATTATTTGATATTTTCAGTAAGTTTCTTCATGTGACTATTTGGATTTAATTAGAAGTCAAACAGTTACCGAACATGAAGGTGTGATATTGTTAATGATATGCCTGGTTCCAAGGGAAGAATATGTAAAATCAATTCTGAGTTGAACTTCTGGTTGTTTCCTGTTACCTTGTTCAGCTAACATGATTCATAATAGTGTAAGTCTTCCTGACTTGGCATTTATGGTGGAAACTTTTTGTGCCCCGGTTTCCTGGAAATACCACTCATTGCCTTATCTCTCAATGTCTGAATTCCAGGTGGGAGGAGCGGAGGACTGCTTCTGGAAGGATCCAGTATTTAAATCATATTACACGAACAACTCAGTGGGAGAGACCAACACGGTGAGAAATTATTCAGGAGACTGTGCAATGGTGAAGGTTGCTTGCTGACCAGGAGTGCTGAGCACAAGCGACTCTAAATGGCTCTAACAGGGCTATTTGGCATTCCTCTGAGTCCCTCTGCAAGCGCTGTATGCCTTTCTTCTCTAACATCCTACTCCTTCAGTCTGCCTAATATTTAACTCAGAAGAATCATTCTGACTATATATTTTTTTCCCCTCCTAATACTAGCATCTTTGTTTTCCTGTAGAGCTGCTATGGTAGAGCTCTGTAAATACAGACATTACAATGTGCAGACATCGTCAGGAATGAAGAGAAGAGATCTTAAATAGCTGGCAGACATTGTCTATTTACGTGCTATGACCACGTAATCCAGAACTTTAAAAGCCAGTTGTTCCAGAGTATGTTTTGAAATCATTACGATCAGCTTTTCTGATAAGTGTAGATACATGTTGTGAAGGTATTCCTCCAAGAAGTTCCGCTGTTAGCTGAGATGTAGACGCTGTCATTGCATGTTTTTCAAACTCTTCTGCAGACCGTCTGTGCCTGCAGACTGTCTCCTCCATCCTCAATAAATATTTTTCCAGTCTCTGTATAGATGTATTTGACTTAAAATACTCTACTGTTAACACTGCCAGCTCTGGTATACATTCTCAGTTTTCAAGTGAGTGAAGGGACTGAACAGCTTTTTAATTTACTTATCTGTATTTTTCCTGTTATGTTAAAATACCTATTCTAAGCTCTAGACACATTTGCAGCAGAAAAACAAATGCAAAATAGATAATTTGTTTCTGGGATTTCCTGCGTCCATATCAAATCCCCCTTTTAACCCATTTTAAATCCTTTTGAAAGCAGCATTGAGATATGAACCCACATAATTCACTGTTTCCTCTTGCAGTCGAGCTCTCAAGAGCAACTATTTTAATCTTTTCTTAGCCCTTTTTCACCAGCCTTGTCTAATGATCTTCCTTAAAAATTAGAAGGAATAACAAGGCTTGATGACTTCCTCAGACATACAAAAGCAAGGGCTGTATGCTGCTCATTTGAAAAAAAATAAGAAAATAATTTTACTCTGAGCACTCTGTTTAAGGTTGGAACTGCTCGTGTGAGTATTTGATACGATCTTCATCATACACAAAGTGTCTGGTCAGACTTTAAGGTAGATGAGGAGGTTTACTAATTACTCTGGGATGAACCAGTGAGCACAGAACAGAAGCCCTTTGCCTGTTGTTGAGGCGTCCTGCTCAGCAAGTCAAGTGCTCAGCTCTGCTGTCGACAGAGATTTCCCAAGAGCCCTTAAATGAAGCTTCCCTGAAGAGTGTCCTGTAGCTCCATGTCCAGTCAGCAATGCAATTTTCACATTTTTTCCCCGCAGGCCAGCATCTGAATACTCCAGTCCAGGCAGACCGCTGAGCTGTTTCGTGGACGAGAACACTCCAATTACAGGAACGAACGGCGCAACCTGCGGGCAGTCGTCAGATCCGCGGCTGGCAGAGAGGAGAGTCCGGTCACAGAGGCACAGAAATTACATGAGCAGGACACACTTGCACACTCCTCCCGATTTACCTGAAGGATATGGTATGCAAATTTTTTCTTTTTTAATTATAGGCCTTTCAAGAAACTGGGAAAATGGGTTGTGTCTTCTGCTTCTATATGAAGATACTTTTGTTTCGTTTGGAAAAATCCATCTTTGTGTATCTATATATTGCATTTTTTTTTTGTTCTTATAGTTAATTTATCTTGATTTCACAGAACAAAGGACAACTCAGCAAGGTCAGGTCTATTTTCTGCATACTCAGACTGGTGTTAGCACGTGGCACGATCCAAGAGTACCTAGGTAAGAAACAATGGAGGTACCTTAGAGCGTCAAAACAGTTGAAGCAGTAGTCTCCTCAGTTTTCTCTCTCTAATGTTATATTTCTGACTATTGGCCCCTAATATATCCTTTTAACAAATCATTCACCAAAATAAATGTTCTTCAATTCTTCAAGTTAATATACTAATGCAAAGACGGAAAATAAAGATATAAATTATAGCAGTGTGTTGAAAACAGGTATAGCTAACCGATCCTAGATCTTGCGTATGAATTATCGCCAAGTCCACGTTTTAATACTCTGCAAAAATAATGAAACAAAAAGGAGGATCTGAACGTTACCAAAAATGTAGATTTATTGAGACACCTCAGTGAAAACTGTTTTGGTTTTGAGTTCAGACTTTGCAAGTTAGCAAGACCTGAGAAATTGGCAGCATATATTTATGAAGAGCAATCTTTGTGACAAATAGGCAGACAAATATGATAAATTTTAATGGAGGAGCAGACAAGGGGGAAAACCTGGAAAATCTAATGGATGCCCGCTGTGTGTTCAGCACACTGTTCGTAGTGAACTACAGTCTCATCGAGTTAGCTTGAATTGACTTGTCCGTGAGAAACATTGTCCCATGTTCAGACCACCAAATGTAATTTACTCAAGGAATGAGAAACTTGGTAGATTTTGAAGAAGCTAATTGGAGACCCTGGGTTATAAAAAGCCTGGAAACTGAAGTGGTGAGCTGTATTTGAAATGCCAAGATGTTGCCTTTTTAAAAAAAAAAAAAAAAAAGAAGGGACAAAAAGTGTTTTACGTTTGAGTATGGTAGCAAACAATTAAAAATGCATGTGTTTTTTACAGGAGGTTTCCCATTACAGAGCAGAAATGAATATTTATGTTTATGATGCTGTAACACAAATATTCCTAGAGCAGTCATAGATGCTTCCAGGCATCTCATCAGCAGCATATAAATAGGAAAGAATTTGGGGGAGAGAGGCAAACAGGTAGAGAAGCTGATGGAGACAGACTTGTGATTAAAACACTCAGACAGCTATTTCTGTTGCAGCTATCTTTACACTTAAGAGAAAATAAATCTGAAGTGTCCTTTTACTTTAATGTCCTTATTTGCACAATAGACGTGTATGTATTGTAGTTGATTGTATGTGTGATTATTTCTGATGTGTTTGAAAGGAAAGAACGATAAAGGAAATTGTTAGCTTCTGATTGTTCTTTAAAAAACCCAAGAAATCCTCACACCTTAACATTGCGAGGTATCTGAAGTGTGAATTGTAGACATAAAAAAAAACCTGTATGTGTACATTTTTGAAGACTACTGTTTGTTTTCCGTGAACCTTTGGAATGAACCTGCATCTTGGTAATTTCAGCAGAATTTTTCTGAGAACCTGTTAAGCTATCTCTGCATTGCTCAGTGGAGAGCTGAGTCATTCTTAGTAAAATATTTTATTTGAAATGTTTGTCAGAGGGCTGTTTGCTTCCCACTAGTACTTGAGGTGTTGGGGCAAAACCGCCGGAGCGATACACACACATCCCATGCGTAATTCTTCATGGAAAGTATAACTCTGCAGAGCTATAGTTTTGTTTTGTAGGACTTTTGAAAGTATGATTCAGAATTCCTTACGTGACTAATGTTGTTTTAGAAATATTTTCTATCACAATTGGTGTAGAGCCGCAATTCCATTTTGGCAGATACGGCAACAGTCTTTATTTTAGTTTTAATCCTGTAATAATTTAACATCTGAAGTTAGTTTGTAAAACTGAAGGTTGTTTGATTAGATTTTTTATTTTTTTCCCCCACGGCATGGGTTCTGGGGTGTGTTTTTTCTTTGGTGGGCTTGCACCTTGGGAGTAGAGATTCCAGCTGAACAGATCAAGTTTCTGAAACAATACATTTTCTCAGACTTCATGGAATTGTTCTGTTACATTTACGCTTGTTTGGCTCAGAGGCCAAATGCTGAGGTATTTTTCCTTTTGTATTTGTTTTCACAGGGATCTTAGCAACATCAATTGTGAAGAGCTTGGTCCTCTGCCTCCTGGATGGGAGATCCGCAATACAGCAACAGGCAGAGTTTATTTTGTTGACCATAACAACAGGACAACACAGTTTACAGATCCACGGCTATCTGCTAACTTGCATTTAGTCTTAAAGTAAGTCTAAAGTGTCTGGCACACGTTGAGAGTAACAGAGGAAAGAAAGTGACTCGTGACTGATGTTTGTTTTTTTTTTTAATCAGGCTGTATTTTGCCATTCAGTAGTAGTTAAAGCATGGTAGCGGTGTTCTTTAACACACTACCGACCTACTCTGTTAGACAGCCAAGAAGACAGGTTTGATTGTTTCTGGGGAAAAAAAAAATAATAAATTTCTGGCAGCGTTTAGGCAGGAATGTGGCTGTTGCGATGCTGGGAGTTGGGGGCAGCAGAAGGGGAAAAAAGTGCTCTCTGGTGAAAAAGATTGGCCTATAGGATGTTTTCTAACAGCAAGAGAGACACTTTCTTCTCTTTATGTTTCACATTACATTCAGTTATAGAGAACTTGTTTTAAAGTAGGAGTTTGCGTTCAGTAACCAGTGGTGTGAAATACTGATCAGTTCAGCAAGGGTGTGCAGGTGCCCAACTATTCTCCTGGAATAAAGGAGTTAATTCAGCTCCTACCTTCAGTTTTAGAGTAAGACTAGGTGGGATGATCTTAAAAGATCTCAGTAATTTGACTCAAATGTTTTTCTAAAAAGAATAAAATGGGAACTTCATTTTTTCTTAGTGTTTTGATATCACATTTTCATATTACACTTTTAAAAAGTGAAAGGGAAACTCAGAAGAATTTTGGCTCTTGTTTTTATTCCCTAGGCACTCATTTCACGCTGGGGGATTTTCTGCTAAAAATGGAAACCAGAAAGCAAGCAAACTTTTTTTGGCCTTTTTTCTCCTAGACATGGCTATCAGTTTGCCAAGCTATTTGGGAGTTTGCCTCTATTGTTTCTCCTACTAACACCTTTTAATAGTCTTGGGAAACACCTGTGAAGTCTTAAGTAGGTGTTAAGTGGAAGAAACAATGAAGACTTAGTTAGATAAAGCCTTGCAGCCCTGGGCAAGGACTAAGTAGGAGGAATAGTCCTTTAAAGGAAGTGAATCATTGGAAAGAAAAGCTGAAGGAAAGAATAATGGGAGTAAGCACTGAAAAGACAAAACCAAGGAATGGAAAGTAATATCCAGGAGGTTGAAAAGTCTTTCGACATAAAGGCTGGCTAGCCTGTGTCTGCCCAATATACATCTGAACTTAACACACCAAGAGGGAGAAGAGTCTAAATATTGTCAAACATGTATTTTATTTAGAGAAATCATTGGTTTGACTGGTAGTTTCAGAGAAATTTTTTTTTCAACGTGATTCTTACCATCAGAGGAGCATGTTTGTTCTGAAACACAGAAATGTTCGTTAATTCAAATTTCTATCTTTTACCCAAAGAAAAACTCAGACCCACTTAGCTACAACAGTGCGATTCTTATACTGTAGAAGGTTCAGTTAACTGGACTATATATGAAAAACTGTTGTTCACAGGTAGCAGCATCGTGGTGGCTCGTTCTGCATGTACTGTGGAGGACAAATACGTAGCTGGCTTTCTTGTCTGGAAAATCCAATTTGATTTTTCAAGTTCCAGAGTCACAGAACGATTTTGCATTTCTTTAAAGTACTACTACGACAGTGTGCTCAAATTTTTCAGCTGTACATCTGCCTTTCATTAGGGCAAGATTTCAGAAATTCATCCAACAGTGTCATCAGCACAGTCTGCTGCCTGATAAATCTTTTCTGGTGTTTATTCTTGTATTCCACCGAACAGGATATGTGAAAATTTTGTTGTTGGGTTTCATTGGTTGGGGCTCTTTTTTCCCTTAAGCCCACCTCCCTATTTTTTCTTTTTCCTTAGAAAAAGAAAAAAAGTAGTTTGCTTTAGGCATGACATTTTGTAAATTATCTGAAAAATAAGTTTAGAGTTTGGGTGGGATGGGTGTGATAGTGTTTTAGGTTCAAAGGCATAATAACATGTTTACTCTCAGTGATACTGACTTTTCTATCGAGCTGAGTAAAGCAGTTTGTTTTTCCAGTGATAACATTATAAGTTATGAAAATAATCAAAGTTGTTACCCAGTTCTGTTTTAAAATATTGGCCAAGAGTTTGTGATAGGCTTTGATAGTTATGGCACCTCAGAAGTACTTAACTATATCCTTAAAGCACTGTGCAAAATCAAGCGTAGTCATTCAGCTGTGAAAACAAACTAAGAAATGAGATGTAATTACTTTAAGCCTGCAGATTGTTTAGCTAATGCTGCAGTGATTATTTTTAGTCTAATGTGGAGGATGGCATTTTATTTTTCTCCTCCTAGTCCTGCCCTGTTTTAGACTGGTTTAATTTGATGCATAGATTTAAAGTTCATGCTCATTTCAGAGATTACGTTTTCTTTAAGACTGACATAGACTAGTTCTGTGTTTAGGGGTCTGTGTCTTTTTTTAATCTTAAAGGCACTATGAGCATGTGCTCACTTCAGTATATAATTGTGACGTCCTCTGGTAGGCATGCACAAGGAATATTTTCACATGCTTGTCTTTATGGAATTAGAGAGTGCAGAAAATAGAACAATGATTTTTTTTTTTTTGTATATCAAGTAAATATAGTTTCTGTGAGATTTATGTTTAAAACTAATCATAAGTGAAATTATCACGTAGCACAAATTACATGGAGCCAGAATATTCTGAGACCGCATCGGGTGTGTATATCTAAATTATTGTGCTTACTTGATTTCTTAGGAATTACTTGAAAAACCTGTAGTTTATTGTAAGGCCAGTGTGATCTGTTTGCAAATAAAGTGAAGGTGGCCTTATCTAAAAAAAAAACAGAAGCAAACAAGAAAACAGTTTAAAACAGCATCGATTGAGCTAACTTCTGAAGTTCTTTGTCCTAGGACATAGTAACAAAGTAGGATTTCTGTGTGCTATTCCCTTCTTAGAGCCCAGGAGTAAAGAGCTGTTATTACTAAGTCTGGAGTTACTGCTGAAGTGATCTACGTGTCCTGTTGCAGGGGTTTCTAAATGTTAGGCTTGTAAGACTACTAATAAAGATTTCCTCATCGCCTGGTGTTAGTTTCCCTTGAGGGTGGTTTGTGCAAAATTGCTTTAAATAGAGAGTTTGCAACTGAGAGAATAACCGTTCAGAACGATGAGGCAAACTGGGAGCACCACCCCCCTCCCCTCCTTTTTAATTGCCAAATCTGACTGCTCCTGTGGCCAAAGCCTGCCGGAGCTGGAATTTGGTTGGCCAAATTCTAGTAGACTTTATTTCAAAACATACGATAGGCTGACATTTTAAAATATATTAAAACTGTGTTTTGTTCCACATAAATTGTTGCTTTTTACAACATCAAATAATATTATTAACATTCCACTGAAAAACACTCCAAATTTTAACCTATCTTGTTCATCCCGTAAATTTATGGTATTCTGGTGTGTTCTACCCAGAGATACTCTCATCGCTCAGGTAAAATACAGCTTTTATTCTGTGTTGTTTGGAAATGCTGTACTAGAAAGCTATAAAAGCATCTACTTACTGGACACAAGAAACAACACGGGAGAACATCTCTGCAACATAGTTCATTTGCTTTTCCTAGTAAGAAGTTAGATTTACAGAATCTCATAGAATTGCTGGTAAAAATACTTGTTTATCTGTGCCAATTAGTTACATGTGAACTCCCACATTCCTGCGGTCCAGACTAGGCCAGGTACAAGGGACAAGGTCCTCACCGAGCTGCCAGTACAAACATCTTCTTGTAAGCGTACTCTTTTTCAGCCAAGCCATTGAAAACAGACTCTGGTATTGAGGGGAGAGTAGAGGCCTGGCGTTTGGCAGCTCCCTACTTTTTAAAATGGAGGAAGGCAAAACATGCAAAGGAAATGTGGAAATGGTATCTGAGAAATTCGGTGTCAGCAGCTTAGCAGTAGAACTGTATGGATAATACCTTATTATATAGTGCTGTAACCTTTTGCATACTTTGTAGAGTAGTACTAATAGAAATAACAAACCCTCAAACCAACTGACAGCTGCCAAGAAAGCCAGAAGCATATGTCTTTAGTCAGGATGTAATCTCTCTGAATTTATTTTTTACTGGACATTTTTAGCGTAATCGCAGTAATAATCATAGTAAATTGAAAGCGGTTTAGTTACGAAGGCTTAACTTTTAAGAAACATCTGAAGAAAGCAGGGGGATGTATGACTTGAATATCTGCAACCAGCTGTGTTTGTTTCTAGCCGCCAGAATCAACTTAAAGATCAGCAGCACCAGCAGCAGCAGCAGGTAGTGTCCCTCTGTCAGCTGCCAGATGAGGCAGAGTGTCTGACTGTGCCAAGGTACAAGCGAGACCTAGTGCAGAAACTCAAGATCCTGAGGCAAGAGCTGTCACAGCAGCAACCTCAAGCTGGCCATTGTCGTATTGAGGTCTCCAGGGAGGAGATTTTTGAGGTAATTTGAGAATTTGACCCATTTCTTAACACCAAGGGAAGGGGGGAAGGGTTGTTCATAGCTGTCTAAAGAAATCGTTCCCTCAGGTGAAATCTTCAAGTCTGCAGTTAAAGCTGGATTTTTACTGGGAAGAGGAAGCATTTCAAGGGGATGTTAAGAACAGCACTTAAATTAGATGTATTCACCGTAGAGAGAAGAAGAAAACCGAGGAAAGCTTTCCCTGGGGCTGGAGATGTACAGTCTGTGTCAGGGACTGAGGAGGGAGCCCAAGCACTTCACGTGTTTGAAGATACTGTCTCACTTCTTCCGTGAATATAAGAACACTAACGTTTGTTACAGAGGGAATATTACAGATTGAAACCCAAACAATTACTAATGATCTATTGTGGCAGTAAAATTACTAATGAGTAGCATTCATCTTTGGAGTTTGGATTGCTTAGCACCTGTCTCAATTTTGGATGATTTGTGGGTTGAGGTTTTTCCCCTCCAGAATCAGGCCAATTTAATGAATTGCCCAGGCTTCTGAAAGACGAGAGATGCCCAGATTCGGGATATCTGTGTTTTATTTTGCTGAATAACATTGCAAAATAATTCTGCTGAATTGATTAAACTCTGTTAGAATTAATGGGGGTTTTCTGGAGAATAGTCTGTCATCTTGAGAACTTTATCTCCCAGCCCTGTCACATTTTTACCCCACTCACAAGCTCAATGACTCCACTGTGTTGTCACGGTTTTTCCCAGCCAAGAAAGATTTGTGCTGGTCTTCCCTTTGGAGACAGCCAAATCGGTTCATAATCAGCTAAAAAGAAAGGGAGGAAAGGCTGCTGTAGGGCAGTGAAAATCATTATGCTCTTGTTCTGAAAACTAAGTTGAGTATGTTGGGTCCCAGACACACCTACCTCTTCTGTTCTGCAAAGCCAAAGATTGTGATACTGATAGTAGACGTAAATAAAAACCAAACTTCTTTTTGTTTAATTCCTTTAAAAAAAGTAGGATTTGTTTTGCCTCTTTCAGCTTTCTGTTTGAGTTTTCTTGTTGAAGTCTTACTGGTAGAGGAATAATTTTGTAGACTTACTGGGATGGCATTGATGCTTCTGTTTTTAAGATGCTTCTTGAAGGCTGCACGTGTGTGATACCCAGAGAAGCAGCTTTGCTGTTGGCTTTTCAGACTGCAAAAATTGTGAGCCTTTATGCAAAACAGAAGTTTACTGACACAAATTTTAATTTTTTTATAAGTTATTTGAGAATATGAGAGAATATTCTGATCACCTCTGGAAATTTAACAGAAGGTGCTCCTTCTCTTTTTTATTTGATAAATGTATTTGCATTTGTAGAAAACAAAGTAACAGTCTGTGATTTGAGAAACTGGTTAATATCTAGACTCAGAGTCCGAGACTCCCTCCATTTCTGATGAACAGTAGTAGCTTCCCACCTGTAAATAGCAGTTAATAAAAGAAAGTGTTTTATACTTACAGGAATCCTACAGGCAAGTAATGAAGATGAGGCCAAAAGACCTGTGGAAACGATTAATGATAAAATTTCGTGGGGAGGAAGGCCTTGATTATGGAGGTGTTGCCAGGTAAACAGCCCCTCCAGTCTCTCCCCCTGCACCCTAACCCCACCCAGCTACCTCTGTGCTTTGAATCCTAAACCGGCCTTGTATCGGCTCCATTTCCTTTCACGTTATTTATTACTGTAACAGATTGTATGTCAGAAAAGTATCTATTTTCAAGTAGTCTTTTAAAAGGAAAAACTGAATTAAAAAAAACTACTTGGAAATAAATCAAAATGCGTGTTACAGATTGCATGAGACATCTGCCATGTCTGCAGAACAGGCTTTTGGTACCTATTACTGTATTTGGTTAGTAAAATTCGGTATTTTATATCACTCAATACTACTGTACTAAGAGCTTGGATATTACTGGGCTTTGTGGCCCGTTTTATTGCAAATTGTCACTGCTGTTTGAAGGAAGACGTTGAAACCTAGAGGTTAGTAGTCTGAGGTTATTTTTCTCTTGTTTATAAAAAAGGGTATCTCTGTAGTATAGTAACTAAAATACCCGGTGCCTTGTCTTGGTGTGTAGTGGATGAAGAATAGTTAGAAACTCCCTTGGAAAGAAGTAACCTGGAGAGAAATCTTGGGAAGCTGGGAAATACTGTCAGGTGCTGTGCAGTTACTGAGCTGGTAAAAATAATTCTGATTTCAGCCTTATCTAAGCATGTTTGAAGGTAACTTCCTTCACATTTATGTTTAAGTTTTTTGAAAAACCAAACCCAAACCGATTTTGAAAAGATTCTTGGTGTAGGAATGCATCTGTTTGAAATACACAAGAAATGATTTTATTTTCTTCAGGGAGTGGCTCTACCTGTTGTCACATGAAATGTTGAATCCGTATTACGGTCTCTTCCAATATTCCCGAGATGATATCTATACGCTGCAAATCAACCCAGACTCTGCAGTCAACCCGGTATGAGTGGGAACAGGAGTTCTGTAAATGATCGTTCTGTGACTAGAAATTAAATACATCTGGAGAGTGTTCTAGACTTCGGAACCTAATTCTCACATTAGCATTGCTGGAGACTGAATGTGTGCAATCATATAATTTCTTTTTAGTACTGATCAAAGAATCTCCCCAAATGTGTTCTTAATTTTCTGTAAGATGTCGATTTATGTTTCCTTTGGGAGAAATTAAGTTTATTTTGATTCTGGGTAATAAAACTTCTGGACAAGAAGCAATATACTCACTGTGCTGTGTATAAAAGCAAACAAAACAAAAAGCTCTGGATATGTTTCTGTTTTCTGGGGGGTTTTTTTTGTTTTTTTTTTGTTTTTCTTCTTTTCATGATATTGAAATTTTGTTTCACGTTCAACAGATGTAACCTAGGGATCTTGTATAGGTGAATGGCTTAGCCTCTTCTTTCTGTCCTAGGAACACTTATCGTATTTCCATTTTGTCGGACGGATAATGGGGATGGCTGTGTTTCACGGACACTATATTGATGGGGGCTTCACGTTGCCTTTCTATAAGCAGTTGCTGGGGAAGCCAATCACTCTGGATGATATGGAGTTGGTTGACCCGGATCTTCATAACAGCTTAGTCTGGATTCTGTATGTACGGTGTATTGCATCTTACAATGCTCACATTCCCTCTGAGTTAACGGGATAATGTTCCTAAATCTAGCTGAAAATAAATGAAACATATTTTGATCTCCTGCTCAGGCAAAGTTAAGAAACATCTTGCTTGCACAATTCATCTCCTTGAAGGCATACTTTAGAGCTCAGTAATCATTTATCTCTTAAGTGCTCAGTTGGTAGATTTTAATTTATTAATATTGCCCATTATTAACAGTAACATGTTACTAAAATGTAACCTTGAAACTTGGATAGTGGTTAAAAAATATAACATAGTAAAAATCTGCGCTCATCTTTTGATTCCAAGCAGTGATTTGAAATGCCGTTGAAAAACTAAATTGTGATGTCTGTCAGATATATTATGGCTGTAATAAATTTGCAGAATGTTTTCACTGAGTCACTTGCTTATTTCTTTCTGCCAGTGAGAATGATATCACAGGAGTCTTGGACCATACGTTTTGTGTAGAACACAACGCGTACGGCGAAATTATTCAACATGAACTGAAACCCAATGGCAAAAGCATCCCTGTGACAGAAGAAAACAAAAAGGAATATGTCAGGTACATCGATAGGTTTTCAAAAGTTTTTTCTGTTTCCTGCAGTGGGGAGGAACTTTTACTTATTTGAAGTAATTGACAGTGTTATCTTGCTGGTTTTTCTCTTGAGTAGTGGTGTATTCCTGTCAGTAAGGCCATTTCGGGGGGGGCTGGATAAATTGCAGCTTTATTGTATTTGAGTAGATCTCTCACAAAACCAATTTGCACTTGTTTGCAGACTTTATGTAAACTGGCGATTTTTACGAGGAATTGAAGCTCAGTTTCTGGCTCTACAGAAGGGATTTAATGAAGTAATCCCACAACATCTGCTGAAGACATTTGATGAGAAAGAGCTAGAGGTCAGTCCACTAATGTTACGTTATGTCATCAAGAGTAAGAATAAAAGCTTGAGGCATTCTTCGGAGACTGAGTAACGTGCAAAGTTGTATCCCCAGTGCTTTAGGAGTTTGCAGGTGTGCTCTTGCAAGAAATACAGTTAGCGTAAGAGGTCACCAGGTCACACCATCACCACGACTGCGTGTGCTAGAGCACCGAGAGCTGCGAGGGTGTTTCTCAAGGTGACATTTCATAGCAGCCACAGAAGTGATAGAAGACGAGACCCTCTTGTATACCCAGAGGAACCTACTGAGAAGTACACACGGTGACCTCGGGTTGTTTCAGAGCGCGTTGCTGCTGGGGGTACATAATTCTCACGGTGCAATTTTGTGATATTAAATTCAGCGTTGCCAGGAAAATAGCCTGTCACTCCCTCCCAACACTTGCTCCCAGAGCACTGCACTGGCTTGAGCGTCAGGCAGCTCAGTGGTTTCGTGGAGCTGAGTTACGCCAGACTGAATTAGCCCTGTAAATACAGCAGAAAGAAAGGTGCTGTCAGTCGTGCCACAAAATGTCAAGATCAGCATCCAAATATCCTCTCAAGGCTAATTCCAGAGATCCCAAGCTTGTTTTAAAGCTGAAATGGAATACACAGCTGGTTAGCTGTGGAGCTGAGGTTTTAGCCGTATAAAATGGCCACGAGGTAAATTATTCATGCTTTCTTCTCTGCACTGCACTAGAATGTCACTGATTGCTCTTTTTTTATCCTGAATATTCTCATTCAAGAGCAGCGAGCCAGCCATGCTGTTAACCCAGAATCATTTTGCAGATGTGGAATAAGAAAGAGGAAGGTCCGATGTTCTCAGTCCCTAGAAAATGTCTTCATAATCGTATTCTTGTTGAGCTTAAGCTCATCCAGTGTGCGTCTCCATTTTAGAAGCGCTGAAAGCTCTTTGTCAGGGAAGAAGCTTGATTTGTATTACATGTGTGATAGGAGCTGAGCAAAATTACTTCTGGTGGTCCAGAGCTGGACCAGCCAAAGTGCTTAGCTGCGCTCCAGAAAGAAATATTGAGTTCAGGTGTGAATTATGCATGCGCTTTCACACGTGGGGAGAACCTACGCTTCTGTTATTTGACAGCTCAAGACACTTTCACATAAGCTTATGAAATGGTTGATTTTTACTTTTTTTTTTCCCTGTAATTTGAATTGAAGCCATTTGAAAAATAGATTGTATACAAAAGTAAGATTAAAAAAAAGAGAAGAGTTATATTTCTACATTGCGTAAGATTAGTGGGAGGTTATAATTTGTCTCTGGTATAAAACCTGTCAGTTTTTCAAAATCAGTTATTTGTCATTTGGCTAGCTCCAAAACTGTCTTTATATTGATCGATGATTAAATCTTTTAAATTCACAGCTCATCATTTGTGGACTGGGAAAAATTGATGTTAATGACTGGAAGGCAAATACTAGGTTAAAACACTGTACCCCAGACAGCAACATTGTGAAATGGTTCTGGAAAGCTGTGGAGTTTTTTGATGAGGAGAGGAGAGCGCGACTTCTCCAGTTTGTGACTGGCTCATCCCGAGTGCCTCTGCAGGGCTTCAAGGCATTACAAGGTGATTTTTAAGAGCGATTCTTTGTGGTCTAACAATGACAAATAGTCTTTTGTGTGTGTTGGCTTAGTACCTTGTTATTCAGCTGTAAACGGTTCTTTTGTTTCAATCATTCACTCCCTTCTCTGGCAAGAAATTCTGATCAGGGGAGATCTTGGTGGGGTTCTCCTTAATGTTTTTTTCTGGAAGCCTGTGTCTTCATTTCTGTCTTCTACAAGCCCTCATCACCTGTACAGCTCTGGGACCAGAAGACACCAGAATCACAGAATTATTGAGGCTGAAAGAGACCTCTGAGATCATCGAGTCCAGCCTGTGACCCAACACAGTGTAGTTGCAACTCTGAGAGCAGAGGGTCTGTGTGATGCTGACTGCTTTTATTTTAAGAGTGACGTAGCCACAGGCAGCTCAGGCATCAGAAGCAATCACCTTGATTCCAGCCCTGTCGTAGGAACTTCAGGCCAAGCTCTGGGTCTCTGTTGTAGCAGCTCTGGCTGCAACCCCTGCTGCTCTGTTAACACAATAGTTACCTTGTTTTACTCCCTCTCTATAGAAATTAAAGGATGTCCCTCCCCATCTATGATTTTAACTTCCTTTGTGCATAGCTGCTTTTTTTTGGTTGGCTGTTTGCGGTTTTAGTTATTTTGTTGTTGTTGCAGTGCAACAAAGAAATTCCACGTTATGCGATACAATAGTAGTAGAGATCTCTTCTGGATTTTCAGGTGCTGCAGGCCCGCGACTATTTACAATACACCAGATTGATGCCAGCACTAATAATTTGCCAAAAGCTCATACCTGGTAAGACTCGGTTCTTCTGACCTCTAATAAATGCTATCCAGAGTAGTAAAGGTGTGAAAACTAGCGACTGCTTTTTATATGAAGTTCTGTTGGCCTTGTCAAGTGTCGCTTTGTCATTGTTGCAAGTCCCGTAAGTGAAATGTAATGGAACTTCGCTGGGTGATGCTTGACGTTCCAGACAGCTGAAACTTTTTTCCTGCCTTCTGTCCACAGCTTCAACCGAATAGACATTCCTCCTTACGAAAGCTATGACAAGCTATACGAGAAGCTGCTAACTGCCATTGAAGAAACATGTGGGTTCGCTGTGGAATGACCCTTCACAGGCTTACCTGGGACTCTATTTATACTCCTGTCAGCCAGAAAGCCCTTCCCTCAGCCAAGACTCAAGAAATGCTTGAAATACAGGAAACTTTCCCTTTTCTACACTAGGACACTGGGAGGGAAAGGACAACTTTGGAATTTTTTTAATTTTTTTTTTTTTTATTTCAAGAAAATAGGTTCTGTGGTTCCTGCCATAGGATCATTCAGCTGCTATTAAAAACTAATATCTTGAACATACAGAATGCTGACTTTTCCTACATTTCAACAGTTAAGCAGTATTCTATACTTAAAGACTACTACTATTTTTGTAAAAGGTAATCTATTATATTTGCCTACCTGATTTCTATGCTCAGATACCAAGACACAACTTCAGCAGTCGGTACAAGTCACGTTTCAGCCTGTTTTAAATATATGATACTGAACAGCATCTATACCTGCTATTTTTGGAAAAGATATTTTGGATTATTCTAACTTTGCGTAAAATTGGCTGAAAGAATCGTTAATCTTTTTGATTAAAGCCACTTACATGTTAACTGCATTTTCTTATAGTAAAACATTATATTCTGCAATGTAAATTCAACTTAAGTGTTACCACAGGGGGGCTTTTTTTATACTTTTCAAGCATGAATTACAAATACGATGTTTTGGGGTCCTATTTATGACACTTGTCAGATTCCTTAAACAAAATTTCTAGTGTGAGTGACACATACTGTATTTGGTACAGTACTGGTGTTAACATGTGGAATAGACCTTTTTTAATGAACAGTAGACGTTTTGATTTTTTTTAAAACGACATTTTTCTAACAAGTCTGTCAAGAGTATTTTTGTTGCTTTTGACTTTAAACACTGCGTTTTCCAACTTTTTAAGCATGCTGATGAGGTGATAGCTGACAGCAGAGGTCTGTCAGCAGTTCGTTTCAGAACCCATCCTGTCCAGTCAACCAAAGTTTGTCTGAATGCAGCCAAATCACAGTATATATTTGTTGATGCTAAAGATTTATCAGGTAAAACATGTTGTAATCGTTGTCTAGCTGCTCATGTCATGTGGGTTTTAAGTTACAACTAAGGAAGAATGGTGTATTAACTGAAATATGTGTAATGTGCTTTGAAAATGAGGTTTTAAAAGCACATAATTTATTGATTGTAGGGATGGAATAAGTATATATATGAAATATAGCATGGGTTGATCTCTTCGAAGGGGAATAAAATGCACTACCGGTAGAGGGAACTGAATTTGGAAGTTAGTTTGAGAATTCTCAGTTAAGCTCTGCGTGATCTGCTCGTGGTGTGTAGATGAATCAGGCTGCTGAAGAGACAGTGGCATTCTCTTCTCAGCGGTGAGAATATCTGGAATAAGTGGCGTGTTTTTCTCTCAGTCAGTGTTGTGGTTTTTTTAACTTAAGTTACATTTAATCATCAAACCTGCACTATTTTTACACTGCTAATGAGAAGAAAGTCGAGGGTATTGAAAATGTTAAAAGAATAGGATGTAAACAGCTGTTTGGGTTTTGCAGTGTGAGTCACACAGTGAACTAGCTCGTTTTCTGTCTGGTCTGTAGAGCTTGAACTTAGTTTCATTCTGCCAAATCTGACTGCCACAGTGAGTAAACTACTACTGGATGTTGTGTATTAGAATAGCGGGCAATGGACTACTTTTATAGAATTGTGGTAAGAATCTGGCGAGCCAAATCCGCATGTTCATTTGATTATTTTTTTTCCGTGCAGCTGTTGCTGGAAGGTTTGCTCTAAGAGACTTGCTTCCCATTCTGGGCTCGCTGCAGAGATGAGGCTGCTTAGGGATGTAAACATAAAGCCAAGAAACTTGCTTTGACAGCCAGGTTTGAAATATCAGACCCTTTTTTGTTGACTCATTTCAGGGGACTGTTGCACTCATGTAACACGGCTGGTACCTTTGCGTCCGCAGTCGGCATCTCTAATTCGCCGCTTTCAGGTGATGCCGTTGCCCGAGAAGCGACACTACGTCTGCCTGGGTTGCCTGGGAGAGCCAAGTAGGTTGTTGCCCAGTGCGTTTCTTACGCAGCGCTGCTGCCTGTGGTTGGGACCACTCTTTAAACACTCCCAAAGATCTCTTCTCACCCCCTGCAAGTTTTGAGGTGTGATGTGCATTGGTTTTTACAGAGACTTTACAGAGACAGGCTCTTCTGACCACTGTTTGCAGGACAAATACTTCAGCGTTGTGGAAGTGATTTATTATTTTTTTTCCCCCCTTTTTTTCCTTCTTTCCCCTGCTTGGGCTATGGCTGTAGGCTCCCTGGTCAGGAAACACGAAACATGTAAAATCCAGTTTGATGGAGCTTTTGGGCAAGTCAGGACCTGGTTAGGTGATTCCAGGGGCCAGGCATGCCGCTGTTCCCTTTGCGCCGGACGGCTCACCTCAGCGCTATTTAAAGACCGTCTCTGTAGTGTCTCTGATCACATCATCTCTGTTCGCCTCCTGTCAGCCTCCTTAGGCTGGTAAATTTATTGAATGCCTCGTTATGGCCATCTGAGGAGGGAGGAGACAAGCTCTGCAGAATAGATAAATACCGTACGTTTTCACAGCAGCCTTAGCAGTACGTCTGTCTTTTCTACCAAATGTTTTGGTTTGGCATAGAGATTTTTTGTTTAACGGCCACAGATAAATATTTCAAATTTAATATATTATAGGCAAAACTAGACAAATCGACATTTGACTTTCCATAGCTGACAGGTGAGGACGACTATACCAAGTATTTTTAGTGCCTTCGTACCTTCTTAATGACTGAGAGCTTTAACTAAAGCACCTCGTCACCTAGTCAGGTGTTTATCTGAAAATGTTAAAGGGTTGAGTCCTTTGCAAAATTTTGTTTCGAGATCATGTCAGCTACTTTCCCCTCAAAAAGGTGCTAAGCCTAATATTGCATTTTAACCTTGGACTTTCACCCCATGATTAATGTGAATATTTATTTCAATGTGTCCCTCTTACTGGGTTTTACTTTATCCAGTCTTTAGTTGTTTTAGAGCAATGTCACATCCTGGTTTTATGCTGTTGCTTTTCATTATGAATGTTTAATTATGAACGGTGACTTTTGTAGATTTCAAATATACAGTACACAGTTGAGTTTCAGAGGATTTAATTTCTCGGTGTAAAGAGTTTTGTAATGGTGCTTTGTACAGTATGTATTCTAATTTTTTTTTTTGCACATAGTTTTCAGTTTCCCTAAACTGATTTATTTGTACCAAATTTTTGTGTTGTACTAAAGTCCAGAGCACACAAGCCGTTCTTAAATCTTGTTCTACAACACTACGTCTGTGTGGAACTTCTGGTGCGTTTAAACTGGCTGCATTGATGGAAGTAAGAGCTTTGCTTCTATATCATAAGAATGCATCATACAGCTTAATGTAGCATGCCCCGATCGCTTCAGATTTTAAACAGCACCGCACAGTTAACAGGTGCCATTTGTTGTACTTTACACTATGTAGTAGGTTCCTGGCTCTGCCACATCCTCAGAGCTTTGTCTGTAGTTGTAATGAGTTTATACGAGTGTAATTACTCCTCCACAAATTGACAGTTCTTAGTTTATCATTTCCATTGTATTTATTACAGAGTGTTTTAGCATTGGTATCATTGTATTTTCACCCAGCTGTTACATGAGCTTTAACAAAAAACAAAATCTGTATAAAATGGTTTTTAAGTACTTAATGTATGTACCCATGCAGAAGTTGAGCAATAAATTGTATGCTGTTTGCACTGTCACAGCATCAATGGTTTTAAAAGTTTTCAGTTTTTCTTAATTAAATATTTACTTTAAAATGGAACGATACCATTTTTAACTCAGCTTTGTTTCAGGAGAAAACACTTAGAACTGTGTCTGTCTACCTGCTGTTACCTGCAGTAAGGATTGTGCTAAAGGTTCTAGTCAGACTGAAAAGGTCTCACAGTTGGCTTCCCCGGCGTGGGGCGACACGTGTCTGGGCAAGGACTTCAGCTCAGCGTTGGTGGACGAGTGTCTCCTCAAAATTCAGCAGAACTAAACGATCTTCCTTAAGGGAAGATAAAAGGTAAATAAATTTAGTAAAATTGTTAAATTGGATCCGTGTAGCTAGTAAACATTGCCGCTTCGATAAAGACTTTAAATTAGGCTGGCTTTCAGTAGTAACTCCCTGGAAAGGGTTGTTAAAAAAGCCAGGGTGTGGCATTCTGGTTCTGTGGAGGTGTTTTGCTGTGTGGTTTTGGGTTTGGTTGGTTTGTTTGAAGTGAAGGGTGTCCTGCTTTACCTGCTACCTGTTGTGTTTAAAATGTAAAGGAAGCATCTCCAGCTGCCGGTGGCTTTTACCTCTGCTTACCTCCTTTCCATTTTTTCCTTTCTTCTCAGAGCCTGTTTAAAACTACACTTTAGTTCATGCTCATTATCAAGATAAAACTGCATTTTTTTTCAAGCAGAGGGAAATATATCAATAATGGGCTTTGCTAATTATCAGCTTGGTTTGATGAAAACCTTCTCAGTTATTTACCACTCGGTGTTTGTATCTCACAGGGCCCATAACACATGGCTGCTGAAACTTGAATTTTCTGCTAACCCAGGTATTGTTTATAGCACATGATGCTTCTACAAAGCCAGGTGTAGTGCCTATTGTCAGCTCCTACTCAGCCTAGAAACAGACCTTACAACCTGTAGTAAGGTAAAGGCTGAATGATAGGAATTTTTAATCACTATTTACTCTAGCTTCACAGTGTCAGAACTAGAACTAATCTGTTTTTCCCTAAGAAAACTAAACAGTGTACTAAATAAAAGTACCCTTGCAAAACTTTTGTCCAAAATAATCTGCTTCTAAGAGCAAACATGGTTGTTACTGCTTCTCCAGTTCTATGTGGCATTACTGTGCCTCCCTTCTGAAACAGATCCATTCCAACAGAACTTTGCTTCTTTACACGTGGGCTTACGTAGTTTTGAGAACCCTGTGTGAAATCCAACAATTAAAATAATTACAGAAACACTACAGAGCATAAACCCATTAGTATTCCCCTGCTGAAAATAACTAGGACCTGTGGACAACCTGCCTTCCCAGGTTTCAGTTCCTGCAGAAGCTTATCCTTTACTGCTTTAGAAGCATATTCCTTGTTTTCCGTTTCAAACTACTTTTTCCAGCACAGGTGTAGCACAGGAGATAGTACCTTGTATGCTTTGCCACAAAACCAGCAACAGCAAAATTGCAAACACGGTGTTGGGTAAAGTAAGTAGCCCTCCCTTGCTTAATAGAACTACTGATTTTTATGTCAGGTTCCTTGCACGCATCCTCCGATTTGTCCTTTCACTTGAACCAGTCACTAATGATGTTTTAAAAAATCTTCGTGTTCTTTATGAGCTTTCCAATCCACTAATTTCTGGCTAAAGTGTTAGTGCGGCTTTTCACCTTCAGCAACAACAGGCCCAGCACGGCGTAGTGTTCAACTGCTCCGCTAAGGTAATTTCTTTAAAGCACACTGACTTCATCCCACTTCCTTTGTGCGGAGCTCAACATTACCTCAGCCTTGCTAAGAAGGGAGAAAGTAGTTCAAAACTTTATTTGTGATCATAAAAGTACTGTACAGATCCCAACAGCGACACCTCTGACGTGTCAAAATGACAGACCGGATATTTGGAGAAAAAGAGACACACAGTCTTCCTGATGCAGCAGCTCTCACAGACTCTCATCATCTCACTGCAGAGGTGTTTACTCTCTTACAAGAACCAGCTTTTGCTGTACTGAAAGGAAGCCATCTGAACTCTAGATTTCAGTCTGTCTGCTTCTAGTTCCTGAAAAAAGGTATCATCATCACTTTGCATTATTGCTGCTTGCAGTTGCTGTATTTCCTTTTCCATCCTCCATCTCAATTCCCTTTTTGTTTTCTGGAGCATCTAAAGAAAACAGAGGCATTAGCTGCAGCATGTAAAAAAGACAAGAGGCTTACACAAAATTAAAAGTACTTACTTGTGCTTGTGCTTTCTCCCTGGTTTGAATTTCTTGGCGTTCTTGAGATACAGCTTCTGCTAGCATGGAAAACTAAACATAACAGGTATTTGAGTTGAACGAATTAAAGAAAAGAAAGACTTCTAGTGTAAAACTGTTAACCATCTTTGATGCAGATCAAGCTTTACCTGATCTTTGTAATAGTTCTCCATAGACTCCAACTCATTTTGATGTTCTTGCCTTTGCTCAGCACGCTTCTCTTGAGCATATGCTCTCAGGTCCTTCAGTCTTTGCTTCTGAATTTCTAAGCCTTCTTCAAATAAGTTTTTAAATATCTGCCAGCAATTAAAAAAGGAAAACCTAAATCTTTCCCAGAAACCTTTAAGTATACATTTACATTTTTCATCTGCTTTATCTTCTGACAGAATGGTGCTCACATGAAGACAGGTCATTGCCTGTGAAAATAATACACAGTTATGTCTAGTAATGGTGGTACAGACACAGCTGAACTGTATTTGTGTTAATAATTTAGCTGAAATTCTGATAGATAAAATAAATAAACTGACATGAAAAAGTTCATAGGACTTAGAAAGGGGCTAGAACAGCATATGTCAAATCCCTTCAGAAAACCCAGCAACGCAAGCCAGGGTCTTTGTGCAGGCGCTGTGACTTACACCTACCCTGCGGCTTGTTGTCTCACCTCAGGACCTTCGTGCAGGTTTCCATAGCAGGAACTCCAGCCTGTACTCGGGCACACTTACCAGCTGTAGCACAGCTTGAGGCAAACAGCTCTCAAATCACTACTAGTGGATTATGCACTAAGCTAATGGTCCTTTCTTTAAAAAGGTGAGAATTGTGTAGCTGCTCTTGCAAAGTATAACAACTGTACTTGCTTTCCGTAGCTCTGATGTCCAGCCCTAATTAGAGACCATATCTGTCAAAAAGTCCACTTTGTTTAACAAACAGAACTGAATAACAAAGCTGTCTCTTTGATCAGTTTCCTTAACTGAAGGTTTAGATTGTTTTCTTTGGATAGTAACAACTTCTTATTCCTACTGTTCCTGAAAACTCATTTCCCCAATTTCTCATGTTACCAGCCCTGTTTTTCCATACTGATACTTCACCCTTTCTCTCCTTCTCTTAACCCCCTAAAGCAGCCTTTCTTGTTTTACAGTGGTTTGCCCTGAACAGTATCAATGTTTCCAAAGAAGGAACCTTTTCATCTGTGGCCTTGAGTGACCAACCATTTAATCCCAGCTCTATGCTCCGCTCACTTAACTTGCTCTGTGTCTGCTCGCACCATTACCTGAACTACCGGCCTATGGGTCCGAACAAAAAAGAGAATTCCACATCTAGTACTTACCCTTTCTTCCCGTGTCCGAGCCCGCATCATCTTGGCACGCAGCTGAACCCGATAATCTTCATAGTATTTCCTGGCTCGAGCAACTTGCTGGCGTTTCTCTCTCACTTTATTCTGAGTCCATTTCTGGCGGTAGATACGTTGCTTAAATTCTTGCTAAATGGAGAACGGTAGCTGTAAGACCACCAAGTTTCTAACAGGCAAAGCTTTGTTATCGGTGCTAAATAAAGAGGGCCCAAGACTAAGGATCTTCTCCCTACCCCAATTTTATACTGTACTGATGGTCTGAAGCTTTACTCACCACTGATTTAGCAAAGTGGTGCCATCAGGAGCGCTGTATAACAAGAGTCAGCATTGCCACGGTAGCTCGTGTTTTTACCAGCAACACCAGGAGCCTCGAGTTTCTCCTTCTTCCACGTATTAGAATTTGTTTGCACTTTTAAAGCAACAGTGCAGTGTAATAATATTCCATTCAGTGACCTCATTAGCCACAGAGCAAACAGATTACATGGCATTTGAGACCACAGCTACTTAAGAGGCATAAAATTGTCGTAAGATTAAAAGCCACTTACACAGACCAGGAAATAGGCGTTCTAGCTAGCTGGACATGAAATTTTTGTATTATGTAACAAATACCCTTCAAAGAACATACCAGCCTCTTGTTATGGTCTTGATCTTTTTTCATAATTGCAACAAGAAGCTCATGCTTCTTCAGGGCTTGTTGAACCTGGAGGTTTAAAAAAAAAAGCTAATTATTTCTATCATTCTGCAGGACAGGCAGTTGTGTGCAAGTTTTAAACCCTGTCCCTCTGCTATGTTTTGGTTTTAATGTTGAGATTACAGCCTGATGACTGCTAACTGTTCAGTCAGAGGTGCAATCCCTGCTGACACTTAGAAGGTAAGAGTACGAACGCTCACTTCATTTTGGAGTTTTGGTCGAGTTCCACCAGAAGCTGCCTTAAGTTGTTCAGTATGTGCAAGCTGCCGCTGCCACATTTTTTTCATCGTGTGGTGGGAAATATGCAGGTGGGGAAACTCTTCCAGTAGCTGAAATAAGAGGCCATCATCTCTTGCTTTCACTACAAGGTAAAGACAGATGTAAGCAATAAATTTCTGGAGAATACATTTAGTGGTAAATTCTTCCAGTGTCTGCCTAAGTTATGAAATATTTTAGACTGAACGCTATATAAAACTACCGTGCTGTTGTTACGACGTCAAGCTAAAACCCAGCAGGACATCGCATCGCCTTGTCAGTACAATAGTGGAGAAAGTAATCACAAGAATTTATTTTTTTTCTGTGAAGAACTGCTTTTATAGCTCAGATGTTATTTCTGTCCCACCACCACATCCAAATAAGAGAGGAATCCCCTTCTTTCTTCAAATGGTTCTGACCATCACTAATCAGTGATTTCTTTATCTGTCTCTCTCCCACAGGCTGCAGCAACTTAAAATAATGCTAATGCAGCAGTAGTAGTGACAGATCGAGGTCAAGTAAAGAGGTGAGCAATAAACTGTTTTGCAACCAGCTCATTCCCATTACATCTTTGATCTTTCTGGCAGGAAAAGATGATGAGGAGACAAAACAAACGGGTATTAATCAAATATATGCCCTTTAAACACTGGGGGGAAAAAAAGAAAAAAAACAACAAGGCAGCGTACCTGAACAACATGCAGGTATTTAGGGGATTATGCCATGATCTTGTAACTAAGCGTGCCCAATGCCGTTCGCTAAAACCGAGCCTCCGATTTGTGGGTTGGCTGTTCTTGAAGCATCGCTTGCTCAGCAAACCCAGCAGCAATGTTGCCACCCCCACCCATGATAGGGTCCTCCAAGGAAGGTGAGAGCAACCAACAAGATTCTGCTCCATCACCTGGACGTGGCTCAGCACCAGCCCGATTTTAAATCTGATGCACGTTCGGGGGGGATTAAAAAAAAACAAAAACAAGACTTGAGCTCAGGCTATAGCAGAGCAAGCATAGGAGCAGCAGTAATGGAAACAAGCCTTGAAAAGAATCCAGGGGATCTTAAGGAGGCAGCAGATGGGTCACAGTTTTGATTGTGCATTGGTGGTTTACATTTACTTAAAGCATTATCTTCCCTAACAAAAATTCAGACATATAGAGGTCAGAAGAAGGGGAAAATGCTACAGCTGACTGGTATACGTTGGACTGATGCCTTTATTCTCGGAGTTCAGCACATGCTTTCAAAAGATGCCAGTTTTCCACCAAGTATAGTTTTCTTACTTGGAGCTGCTTTCTTTGGCTTCCCAGTCCCTCGTTTTGGAATCCACTGGCTGTGTTTGGGATTCCGAGGTGTGGTTTTTCTAGAACAAACTTTCACTGGCTGAGGCATTTTTGGAGGTTCTTGAAAGGTGTTTTCTTTGTATTCTTGTTCCTTAGAAGCAGATGTAAAACAGATGGAGAACAGGTATGAGAAGAGAAAGACTGATAGATCACATGGTTTGGATATCACAACTTAAATGTCTTTGAAACTTTAGAATGAGAATTTGGACATACTGCAATGGATTCTCCAGAAGGCCAGAACTTAGCAAATGCAGGTCAGGGTTCAAATAAAGGTTAAATCTCACTGTTGCATAATCTCTGCTCTGTTGCAGCACTTAACACTACTGCAGCAGCCTACGGTCTGCTTCTGCAAAGGCTGTGAAAAGGGCCAGTGCAGCCTACCTTGGTAGGACATTGCTGACAGAGCTTTTCATCTTGAGCTCTTTGCTGTTCCAACGGCTTGTAAGGATGCAGCAAAAAACCCTTTGCCATACTCCAAACATTAGAGAATCATCCTTGCACAAATCCAACCTTCCCAGTAGTTAAAACTATGACTGTTGAGCCATCCTGTTTACTACTTCAGTAGTATATAGCGCTCTAACGATGCCACTAGAAGTCACAAGCCGTGCACAGTGTCTGGAGACATCATCTAGATAAACTTTAAACAACCAACAACCACAATAGCACGTCACATACCATTTCTTTGATGTCTTCTCTGAGCTTGGCAAGTCTAAGCCTCTCCCTAGCTTCGTAAATTCTTAGTTCATCTTCATAAGCTCTAGCGACTGTCTAGAAAATAAAGGGAACTGCTCAGTCCTGATGACCACCTCATTAACTGGTTCAGTGTATGGGTCAAAGTGCTTTTTCCACTTTAAACTTTTTTTTTTGTTTCAAAATTTGAGGTTTAAGTCTTTTTCTAGGCAGTCTACAGATTCAACAGTACAAAATTACTCAAGTAGGCCAGACACCTCCATTATGTAAGAGCATTCAGTTTTACTATAAATGTTGGTAAGAGTGAACAAGAGGTTTAATCCAGAAATTACCTTTGTTTTTTCTGTTCTTTCATCTCTTTCTTTTTGCAACTGGCTGCGTATTTTCCTTGTTTGACCTGCTCCATTACCACTAAGTTTATCTTCCAGCTCAGTTCTGAGTTGATTCTGAGATGAGGGTGAGGATGGAGAAAGGGATCGTGGCCTGCCTGGGTACCTTAGATGCGGCATGTCTGTAAGGAATGGTGAATCATTAAGCATTTTAACTTAAAAAAAATAAGACCTCCAGCCAAATATAAGAAAAAAAGACCCCCAGCATAAGGGGCAAAAGCTTTAGCACAAATTCAGCCATAAAAAGCTAAAGGCTTTGCCTTTGGAGTTATCCCTGCCCCAAGTCACAAATTCTGGGACTTGTATAATAGCAAACTCCTTTTGCAGCACTTATCTTCAGGAGATACTGAGGATGGGAAAGGAAAAAGCAGCAAAGACAACTGAAGATAGCTCAAGGTGAGCAAGTGTCTTCATGCCAAGGTCACAAACAGCTGCGTCTTGCAGTATAAGGTGTTACCTCGTTCGGCTTTCCTTCGGCGATAATCCATGATGCTGTCACTGTGCTGAGAAAGGTTGTCTTCATCTGTCAACTCTTCTCTGGTGCGTCTGCCCAAAGCTCTCTCTAACATCTATTGGACAGATTTTGCAGGGCGTCAGGTTCAAGAGTTCATTCAAAATTTAGAACTGTCTAAAGTCACGTGTTTCTTGCAGATTTTCTTTTTATCAGCATTAAATTTATATTCTGGTTCTCTCTACTATCATTATGAAGTCTAGCTTGCTCAGATACAACAAATAATAGGTTTCACTTACTAAATTTAGTTCATTTAACCTGCGATGGAGTTTTTCTGACGCTTTTTGAAGCTCTGGATCAGATAGCTTTTCCTTTGTTGTTCTGTGGGAGAAAGACTCCTGAAGTGAATCTGTGGTAGAACTTTCATATCTGCTGAAACAGAAAACAGACAGATTTCTTTTTTATTCTAAAAACTTGAAGATAAGTAGTACCTCATACAGCTCACATCTGTGTGAGCACTCTTTTATAGGATTAAGTACAAGCTGAATGTGTAAATGCTTATATTTAAGAAAATGCATATATGTCAGGAGAAAAAAAAAATCTTTCTGTTAAAATTAATCTTTCTGTCACACAGCAAAGGAGAGGAAGATCTTATTTTAAAGGGAGGAAGACTGGCCCTGGGTGGCTGAATATATGAAAATGCTAAATTGGCTCAGTATGAAAAAACGAACTTGCCTTTCATTTCTAGGCAGATATGCAGATTCAGGTTTTGGCATTTCTGTTACTTGTTCAGCATGAAGTGAGAGTTGTTGGTGTAAAGAGGAAGCAGGTGAAGTCCCATATGCACAGGGAACCTAGGAAAATGAGTAAATTAAGATCTTCACAGTAAAACTCAGAAGTACCATAGATCATGTAAGTATAGAGATCCTACTAGCTTTTATGGGAGAACCATCTCAACCCCTGTGATGGGTATGTATTTATAAATAGTTATATGTCCACAGAGAAATTCGGTGCTTAAAACAGTATGCTAGCAAAAATATAGAAGATCAGTTCACGAATCATCTGCAACAGAAGAAGGAGACCAAGGTCTAGGATAAGTCATGAGTATCCCTACATCCTCCCTCGTTAGCCTGAGACTAATGCCAAGTAACCGAGCATGCGGAACCTCCTCAGGCACAGGCTAAGCTGCACGTCACAGCCAACTAAAGGCAAACCCACGTGAGTTACACCAGCGTGGTGCTGCCCCGTAACTGAGGTGTTTGAACCGCAGTCATTTGGGGCTGGCATGCATATACCTGCAAATGCACCAATGGAAAATGAGTTTTCAATGGAGACTGGGTTTTAAACAGAAACTGTGGAAGCAAAGGCTGTTGAAACTATTGGAACAAATCGAGTCTGTGAGTACCTCTTGTGGTTACTGGAGGCAAAAAAAACCAGTGTTTTCCAGAGCTAGGAACTTCCTCTACAGACATGTTTCTATGAGCGCAGAATGGCCTCTGCTGATCAATTTGTAGGTTTTGCATTATTCAGTTTTTGAAAAGCAAAGGACAATGGAAGGAAGTAAAATGAAAGAATATAGCCAGGCAATTCAGTGATCTTTAGGAAGGGAGCAACATCTGAATTTTATTGGAGTCTGAACAACCCCAGAAAACCAAAATTCTTACTAACTTAGAATACTGATGTGCTTCAGAGAAAGGATGTGACTGTACTCTTGTGTTTTATACATCTGAGGTTTAATCAAAGATAACCAGAAACTAGCCGGCTGTGATAGATTAGAACTCCATAGGTGCTGGCATTTACACTTTTTGGAGAAAACACCTCCAGAAAGAACTGGTGTGACTTACAAATTGTACGTAGGCATAGTCTTAACAGCATTGCATGGTTGAGAGCATAGTGAAGCAAGCCAAACGCAGGTTTGAGAAAATCCCAGAAGTGTCACAAGATAGCAGAAGAATGAAGCAGAAATCCAAAACGTATTGACTGAACTTCCACAAATAAGATAAAGAAGCAACAGCTACCTTTGCCACGTTGTCCTCAGCATCATTTGATACCACCTTGTCTCCCACTGCAGAAGCAGATGACAGATACGTGTTAGCTGATGGCACAGACTGCACCGTGCCTACTCCTGTGGGGAACAAGTTAAAAAAAAAAAGACATGATCTATGGCCTGTGGATCCAAATTAGTGAAAGAGAACAGAGTGACAAAGCAACTGTGGTTACACAGATGTGACATTCATTTTGGTAATTTCTCAAGTTTCCATTGTTCAGTGTCATGGGAATGCCATGGAAACGGGAAGGTAAGCAGTGTTTCCCAGGCAACAGAGAAAGTAAGTGCTGAAAACTAGCTTCTGAACCTTTTCTACAATAGCAGTTAATGTTTTTTTTCCCCTAGAGTTGCAACTGGCTTGTTTAGTCCACGTTTCCCTGCTCAAAATAAGTTCAGCCATGGGAATTATCTGCTAGAAGAGATTTCTGTAGCATAGGCCCATCTTGACTGGATTAACAGAGAAAGGAGTTGAAGTAGGGACACGGATTCTTTCTCTCCAGCACAGTGAATGGCTTAGAAGTAACCTATTTTTGTTTCTCTGTAAAACAGAGATAGAAATAGGAATTTGTGGCTGAACTGAAAAAAAACACACTAGTAATCTCAGAACCATGATTCTTTAGTGCCAATAAAAATAAACGCGACATTTGACACTTTAAAGCATTATCCGATACAAAGCAAAATTCTCTCTCACCAGGGATTTTCCTTGACAGAGGAAGACTGCCAGAAACATCTTCAGATTCTTGTGCAAGTGACTTTTCAAGCTGAAATAAAAAGCAACGTGTTTTCTAGAAATTCACAGAAGCACATTGTCAGGAAGGTCATACATTAGGTTTGTCTGCTTATAAAACCAATGCTGACTTTATAGATAAAAAATACACTAATTATTTTGTTTACTGTATTGTAAACTGTGCAGTTATATTGATTATGGAGATGTGTATGTATACGTGTATAGAATTAACACATCCCTCATTAATTTCCCAAATTAACTTCCTTTCAGGACAGTCAGTGAAGAACAAATCCACAATCCAAAATTTTTTGAACTGAAGATTAAATCTGACGCACTCAGAAGTGTTCTTCAGAGACCAGCTACTCCCATTCTGCAAGTATACTAGAAGGTTTTAAGATGACAGCAGTACTGATTACTTCAAAAGAAAAACAAAGCCCCCAAAACCCCTCAAAGGATAGGTTTTTACTTACAGTAGGAATTTTCACTCCAGGACAGTTTGCCAAAGCTGCTGGCTGGCAGTCTGAGCTCTGATAACCTCTCCATGCAGGATAATGAGATCTGGCTCCTGAAGGCTGAAATGGTGGCAGCAAAGGAACAGCTGGCTGGATCAGTTCCCCAAGTTTTGTAGCGCTGGCACTCAAACTTTCTTGCTGAGGTTCAGTAGCATGAACAGACTCCATTGATCCTTAGGAGACAAATACAAAGAGCTTTAAGTGTTGTCTGTGAAAGCAGAATGTTAGTTTTGTATGTTCTGTGTGCATGTGGATAGAGGTATCTAAGTATTTAGTGTGAGCTACCACCTTTATTGGATTGCATAGGTCAGTACTGTAACATTTTTATGCCTTAGGATGTTATTTCCCTTCTGTTTACCGAGATACACACTGTGGCCCCTCCCTGTCTCACTAGTTTTCTAAAAGCGACAAGTTTTTCCTGACTGTACGTGTGTGTGTATGAGTATAGCGCTCTCACACTGCATGGGTGTAGCTGTGTTCATACAGAGTAAATGGCTTTCGATTTGCTGTTCTTGTCCCCACCAGCACTCCAGGTACACACGGGGGAACGCCTGCTCGTGTGCACGATTCGAAGCAGTGACACAGTAAGCAGAGGCCGGGGACAACTGGAGCAGGTGCCTGCCACGTGTCAGAAGGATTCCCCCAATCCACAATCTGGCCATAACTGTCCTTAAGAACAGTAGAGAAAGACCACCTGAGAATATGATTTTGGATGTTAGGATCTTCCACAAGGGCTTTTAAGTATTTTGCTCATTGGACGACAAAAGGAAAAAAATATCTGAAAATGGTTTATTTCCCAATGTAGCTAAGGTGTTGCCATCCATGACTAAGGTTCTTTCCGAGCCCCTTAGTCAAAATCAGGTAGATTGGCTGTCAGAAAAGTGAATACTCACCCTGTTCCTTTTCTTCTACGCTGGCCCTTCCAGAGAACTGTCTAGGTGATGCTCCAGTAGCCTCTGACTCTTTAGATTCCTCCACCCCCTTGTCCTTTTCTGCTGGTAACAATTCAGGCACCTGGAACTCTAGAAGTGGTGTTTGAAAAAGATTAAATTAAGAACTGTGAAGCATCTTGCTATGAACTGTCTGGATGGACAATTGCCATGTTCGATATGTTAATAACATGGTGTTAGCAATCCATACCATAACCAACATAAGTTTGTTAAATTCATACCTGTAATTTCATTAAATAAAAGTTTCATAATTTCATATTTCTTTATGCCTCCACTTGGAGAGATTAATCACTAGTAAGAATAGGAATATACTTAGATGGAAATAGGAATGAACTCCATTTAAGTAGTCCGCACAGTAATTGTTCCAGAGCCATCCATTCTGTTTTTAAGTGGCACATAATCCTAACAAGTTGTCTGTAAGAATGAACTTACTACTCTTTTTACAGTCTTAAATAATACATTTTTCATTGCAATAAATGAACTAGATTAAAGGCTTCAGAAATCTCTTGTTCTGTTGAACAAAATAAAACGCCTTTGTAGAGAAACAACCAACCTTTATCCAGATAATGTAGCTCAACAGTCATGAAAAACTGTCTGGAATACTTAAGGACCTCTACAGTTTAACTTCAGCAATATCAGCTACGCATATGTTTGCTTATTGTGGGCTGGGGTTTTTTTGCGGTGTGGGATTTTTATAAAATAAGAGTTTAAAAGAAAGTATTTGTCTGAAAGAAATAACTTTTAAAAAAAAGAAACAACCAAAAAGCTTAGAAATGTTACTACAGAATAGTCAATTTTTTTCACCCAGACTCACCTTCCTCTCTCTTAGAAAATGAGTGAGCAGTATCTCCAAGTCTAATTAATTCATTGGTAGATTCTGATCCGTCTACATAACAAGATGGAACAAGAAGTTCTGACTGGGACCTAAAAGGAACATAAAGCTGTAAAACATTTACTTTGAAAGTCTTTGCCCCTTCAGTCCACGAGATGGAGCTGCAGAGGAGGGCAACTCCAGGTGACTGGCTGGCGGTCCGGGACCTAAGAGACCAGCCTCTACAAAACAAACCAGTGTAGAGTCATGAAGGTAAATCAAACGCAGTTTAACTAATACAGTTATTTAAAACTAAGGCCACGTTTCAAGTTGTTTCATTCCATATGTGAAGTAAACTTAAGGGAAACAAAATGCCATCAGCACTCTTGAGAGCAAAAAAAAGTTGTGGATCTAATCTTAGCCCTCTTGCTGCCCAACGAAAGGACAAAGTTAAGGCACGTTCCATCTGACACATGTAATCAGTATGTTTTCTACTTGCATACTATTAAAAACCTACTAGTTACTCTGCAGATACACACAAATATAGCCAATCGCTGTGTCAATACAAATACACAGAACTGTTCTTACCCTTCAACTGATGAGAACGTTGAGGGTTGTGTAAGCTGACCAGCATCGCTTTCCAGCTGCTCATGAATTTCGTTACTGGATAGCGCGTTTAACTCATCTGTTAGTAATAAAAAGGTAGTTATTTTCAGGAAAATTACTTCTCCCTATTAACTAACGTATTATTGAAACATCATCAAAACAGTTTCAGAGTAATAAAACATTATAATGATGGTTTCTAAAATGATGACATTTAATGACAACCTCTGTGGTAAGTTTTGAAAAGCGATACAGCTATCATATACCCTGTTGATTTTATTATAAATAATCCCTTTCTTCTTTCCCAGAAGAATGAAATCCTGGACTTAGAACTACAAAAATGGAGCCACTAACACCTATTGGGCAGCGGCGCTGGCAGTCTGAGAGAGGGAAAAGCACAAGTACAGGCACTGAAAATCAGTACCACCCTCTTTCTGCCAGTCACAGGGGAACAGGACAGGAGGCAACAGTCTCGGCCAAGCACTCTCCTGTTTACTCACAGGGTGCAACAGCCAGTGATGACGGTTCTTATCAGCTTTAAGGTAGGAAGACCAATACTCAGCCTGCAGTAAAGATGATGCCTCGGAAGGGCTGAATAGTTTGCCTTCACCTGTTCAGCTTTTTCCTCAAAATAGCCCCTGCTATGGATCTGCTCCCAAGATCCACTTCCCAGGAAAGTTTAAGTCATCCCCATGTGCCTCCTAGTAAGTAAAAGGGACCTTTGCTCATTGTTCCCTCAACATTTCCTGCCCTGAATCCTAACCACAAATCATTTGACTTTCAAGTTGAAAACTAACAGAGGCTGAATTGTCCAGAGCAGGCTTCTGCCACAAGGGTGAAGCAGAAAGATTATGTTCTCCAATTGTTACTTTTTAACAAGTTTTAGAGCAAATACATTTTCTATTTTTATCATTATTGTTTATGACAATAATCAGTATAAATACTCAGTTTGGCCACTGAAGTTTCCTCCCCCCGTGGTCAGTTTTAGTTCTCCTCTTCTGCATTGCCAAGGTTATAAAGAAGGCAAAACCACCAAATAAATCTTTGCTTCATTGGAAACACCCTGGGTATCCCAAAATAAGGTTTCACAAATCTTGCACCTTCCAACAGGTATCAATCCCCACAGCTGCTAGTGAGAGTCGGCAAAGAAACAGTTCCTACCTATTATGGGAGCCGTACTCCACCCATGAATATCGAGAGCTATGGTCATGAGAACCCAACAGAGCTCCCTGCAAGCTCACTTGATAGCAGACAAACAGAGTAAGTAAGCTGTCCACAAACCAGTAGTAGCAGAACACAGTGCCTTAAACTAGGACATCTGTCTACTCACCTCCATACTGAGAAGAAGATTCACTGGCTTCTTCTGTAAGATACTCTAACAAACCATCAAATATCTCAAGGAGGTTTCTGATAGATTCCTTTTCTCCTTTCACAATGCTCTCACCTTAAGAGAATGTAAGAGAATTTTCTGGATAACAATGCTTGCAAATGTTTGTGAAGGCATCAGCTTAGAAGACAACTGATCCCTCATTTATGGCTACGTATGTAAGCTTAAGGTAACTTAAACATTTCCTAAAGTTGCATATTTTCAGTTCTAATAAGTGAAGGTTTTTTATGCTATACCTGCTTACACACACACAAAAATAATCAGGAATATTTTCAGGAATAGTTGGTATTATATATTCTTATACATACTAGCTACAGCATGAACCAAGGCTATGGCCTGGCAGGCAGGATTACACATACGAGCCGAACTGTACAGGTACCAAATTAGAAAGCGATAATTCATATCAAGCAAACAGTTTTCATCCCTTCCAGGCTACCTTATGTGAGACTATACATATAAAAACTCAGTAAAAGCTATTATCTCTGTACAAAGGACAGACACAACACGGTTCAAGTGTTTACTCACCAGCTTTTTAAAATTCAGTAACAAAAGTGAAATTCAAGGCTCTTTTAAAAACCAGTCTCCAAGCTGCATACAGAACAATGGTGAGCCAGTAACAGACTTTGGGTAACGCTTTAGCAGACAACTATGACCTTCTGCTAACTTTAACATTTCTTACAGGTCTGTGTTATACATGATGGCTCTTACTTATTTCTTTGCTTGTTGTTTAAATTCATAACCTGATATCCAAGGCAAGAGTTCACTTCAGGAGAAAGACCTTTCATGTAAGTCTGAACATGCTTTATAACATATAGTTCTTAGAAAATGTTTAAATTAAACCATGCCCTCAGCTGGTGTTTGCCTACATTAAAATGACTACTTACCAGTGATGTGAGACAAGCTGACCTGCAAATAGTCCAGTGCCAGGGAATCTATTACCGCTTGTACATTATGTGCGTCATCTTCCTGGCTTCTAGGAGTAGCTATGAAATCTATTTAAAATAAATAACAAATAATAGGCTATCTAAACGGGTAGTTTATTGCAAATGTTTTGACTAAACTACTTGAACTTTCACTTGCAAGTTAGTATTTTTTCAGTACCTTGTATACTCGGTGAAGAGCTCCAGAACCATATGGCCGTATGAAATCTTTTATAAATACTGAGTACAAACTTAGAAAATACCCCCTGGAAGATGTGAGGATTTTATCAGCTGAAGTATTAAACTCAAGAACAGAGACTACTAAAGTACTTTGCCTCCTTCACTCCCAGCACCCAGCTAGTTCAGATCATCAGACTGGAGCTGCAGTTTGCCTTAGGGTCTCTTCTTCTCCTGTCAGCAATTAGTTAGACTGCAATGCATCCAATTTAATTGGGAACAGTATTATCTTTAGTTCTGGGCTTACATTTAACAGGACTTTTACCACTAATAGCTGCCAGATACCTCTTGCAGTTATCTTCTGCAAGTAGGAGTCTTGACACTTCCCAAACACAACAGTTCACTATAAAGCGAACAAATACAGAGTTGTATAGCCCTTCCTTATTGTCCCTGAAGTCAAGTTGGGCCAAACCAGAGTTAAATCCCAGTTTAGCTTTTAGCAGATTATAAGTATGAAGCATTTTATGAGAACAGGCTTCAGTATTAACACTTCTTTAAGAGAAATGAGCCAATTAACACCCTGTAGCTATACCAGTGAACTCCCCTCATAGCTGCCATGTACCAAGTAAAAAAAGAAAAAAGGCCAACGTTGCTTAAATTTTAAAGAATTACAATCTTACATGTTTATCTTTGGACAGTTTAAAACCCCTATATCTGTAGTAAGTTTTGCAAAGCCAGATTTATTGGTTAGAAATATACAGAGATTAAAAAAAAATACACATTTAGAAATTATCATTCCCACCTGGTACTTTTTCTCCTAAGATTGACTCGTAAAGACGAACAAACACATCAGCACCACATTCAGAGAGATGCTTTATGTGTTGGTTTATGTGACAGCTCCTTAAAAGATCATTGGCAACAACAACCCAATCTGTTAAGAAGGAAAACATATCAAAGTCAGAACTGAAAGACGCAGAAATAAAGATATGTTTAGTTAGTGAAAGACGGAACCTCTTGAAGTCTCTGACACTGGTGCATGCGGTCAGTCGCAGTCCTGCTCTCCCCATCACCCAAAATATTCAGTATGTTGTATGCTTTCTGCGCTGTGCCCCGCTTCCTTCAGGTGGAACCGTGAGCAGAGAGAGGCACAACCCCCCCCGGCACCTCGTTCGGGTACTGGAGAGCTGCAGGGCCTCAAGTGCCACCGGCTGGGCAGGTCACTTCTTTTTCGTCCGCATAATGAAAGGCAAATTTCCATCTGGCCCTATAGGAACTCCAAATCTCAAAGGATTTAACGAGCTCTGTTATGCCTTTGATCAAGAGCCAGAAGTGACACACACTTTTTTTGAGAGCCAGGAAGGGGACGAGGCAGAGGGGAGCGGTGACAGGTCTCTCCACCTTGTCCGCCCCACCCCTGCAGGACACCCAGG